TGAGACTCCTGAGCTTGTCAGACTACTCACTAAAAAACCCCCTCTACTCTGTTGGACACAGACCTGGGATTGTTTGTCACATTACTTCAGGTCAGGTCAACATGTGACCTAAGCCCTCAGGGCTTGCGCCGTTTCTGGCATTCAATTTCTTTATGACCTAGACTGCATCTCCGTCAAGCTCTAGCTTCTTTGTACGGAAAATATCCTGGACGAAATGTGACATACAGGTCCAATTGTCCTCACACTCCATCATCATAATGACCGTGTCTACCAACAACTGCCCTACATGTTGTTCAGTCTCCAGGCGGGAACCTTCCCAACGCTGGCAGCGGAAGAAGGTGTGCTCCGCGTCGTCGGGAGTGCCTGGGCAGTATAAGCAATTGGGTGACACAGCTTTGCCCATCCTGAACAGGTACGACCGAAAAAACCCATGACCTGTCAGAAACTGGGTAAGGTAATAGTCCACCTCACCATACCGCCGGTCAACCCATGGTTGGACTTGCTGAATCAGTCTCCTGGTCCAGCGTCCCCGCGACTCCTGTTCCCAGCTCTCCTGCCAGAGCTGGTAGGTGCGGTTGCGCTCCTCCGTTTTTGCATGGTCCTCTCCGCGCCGCTGATAAATCGCTTTCCTCTCCACCGCCAAAAGTTTTACTCCAGCAACCACCAAGATGGCAGGTTCAGACACTGTTCGGTAGGCGGATGCTACCCTGAGTGCTGCCTGCTGCACTCTGGCAAGCCGCATCCTATACACCTCCTTATTGAGTGTGTCTGCCCACACTTCCGCACCATACAGGAGCACAGACTGAACTGTAGACATCAACAGCCTTCTGCGACTGGAACGAGGACCTCCGACATTGGCCATTAACCGGCTAAGAGAAGAGATCACCTTAGCGGCCTTGTCCGCCGTTCGGAATATCTGGTCCCGCCAGCTAAGCTTAGAGTCCACCATGACACCAAGATACTTGGCGGCGCACCCTATAACAACATTAACAGTTACATTAACAACTTACAAGTCTGTAGCACAGAAATAGTTAAAAAATATTAGAATACTTTATTGAAAAATAGCACAACATGTGATATAAATGGTATGCTGCAAATTATTCACCATAGTTTTGTCAAAGAATATCCCATGGACAACAAAAACTCACGAACCAAACAATTTAGCCACACTGAATAAAGGAAAAGCACAAGTACGACAAAAACACACATTAGCCAACTGTTTTATTACATCGCTAATCATTATATAACCGCAAAACGGTGCTAAAGTTTAGAGTACTGTGAACATGTACAGTGCTGCAATGAGTTCGGCTTACATAGACATAGACATATTTTATTTACACAAAACGTTCTTTATAAAGTACATTTCATACATAAGAACAGGTGTTTCGTCATAGTGATGTATTAGTAAAATTAATAGTTAAAATAATTAAAATAAACTCATGTAGGATATCAGAGACTTTTTATCTACACTATAGGGTTCTCCAAAACTTCGTCAAGTGAATAGTAGGCTTTCTCAATTATTTTATCTTTTATTTTATCTTTGAATTGAGTAGCATTTAAATTTTTAAGATACAGGGGTAATTCATTGTACAATCTAAGTCCCATATATTGAGGGCTGTTCCTAAAAGTCGTCAATTTGTGATGTGGTAATCTGTAATTATATTTATTCCTTGTATTATAATTATGTGTAAATTTGACTACATCTGACAAATTTTCCTTAGTGTTATGTATCAAATTTAGAATTTCATTTATGTATAATCCAAAAATGGTGTGAATTCTAAGACTTTTAAACAGGTTTTTACATGATTTTCTCCTTCTTGATTTGGTTAAGATTCTAATAATTTTTTTCTGTGAAATTAGTAGGGATTTGACTTCTGTTGACACTCCCCACAGTATGATTCCATACCTCAAGATGGATTCAACGTATCCATAGTAAACTGTGATACCGGTACATGTATCCTGGGGTACACAGTTTATCAGGTGAAAGAAAGCAAAAGAAATAGATCTTAGTTTGCCTTTCAACTTATCCATGTGAATCTTCCAATTAATATGAGTATCAAGCAATACACTCAAAAATCTATGAGATTCTACTAAATTTGGAATTTTATCGAGAATTACACTGTTTTTTAAAGAAAATTTGATTATATGAGTTTTGTCAATATTCAGCTTTAAACCATTATCTGAAAACCAATTTTTCATACAATCCAAAGTGTTTTCCATTGATACAATTAAGTTATTTACTGAATCCTCTCTTATGATTGCTGTCGTATCATCAGCAAATAAGATTAAATCTCTGCCAATAGCTTTTGGAAGGTCATTAATAAAGATCAGGAAAAACAGAGGGCCCAATATTGACCCTTGAGGTACACCATAATTAGATAAATTCCAGTTTGACATATGTTTCACACCGTTTTTGGTCACTATTGTTCTATACTTTCTGTTCTGTAAATAAGAGTCTAATAAAGAAAAACTTTTACCCTTTATACCGTAGTCTTTTAATTTAGAAAGCAAAATTGAATGATCCACACAATCAAAGGCTTTAGATAGACAGAAAACACCAGCAGTAGTTTCAGACCTGTCCAAAGCCCCTGTCACATTATTGATCAATTCAATCAGTGCACTGTTAGTGCTGAATGTCTTTCTAAACCCAAACTGGTTTTCATAAAACAAATCATTGCTGTTAAAATAGTTTACTAGACGGAAATTGAAACTTTTTCAAATATCTTTGAAAAATTACTTAAAACAGATATTGGGCGGTAGTTATTTATATCGGTTCTAGCCCCTTTTTTGTATATCGGAGTAATCAGGCCCACTTTTATAAACGGGCAGACTGGGCATATGCCCAGGGGCGCTGAAGGTTTGGGGGCGCCCACCGGGTGCCCCTCAACCACCACCTGCCTGGACTATGAAAAAAGGGGGGCACTGCTTTTGGGTTTGCCCAGGGCTCCACTGACCCTTAACGCGGCTCTGGGAGTAATATGAGAGTATTTCAATTTTTCCGGGAAAATACCACATTCAAAACATTTATTAATTATATCTGAGAGGGGTTCAGCAATTTTATATGCTACTGCTTTGATGAGTGAAATGGGAACTTCATCCCAACCCACCGTTGTCTTATTTTTCAAAGAAAATATTATTTTTAAAATTTCATTTTTGTTGGTTGGTTCAAAGTTGTACAGTGAACACCCCTTTATATCCACAGATATTTTCATATTTGGATGGACACCCTTTACAAATGGATTTGGCAAGTTTAAGCTATTAACAACATAAAAAAAAAGAATTAAAAGTTTTGGCAACAACATTTTGGTCTTCAATTAATTCATTATTAGAGACTTTTAATGAAATATGATTGCCACAACTCTCCTCTTTTCTAATGCCTAATTCGTTATTTACAACTTTCCACATAGCTTTTGGTTTATTTAATGCATTATTTATATATTTGCTGTTAGACCTTTTTTTAGAACGGTTTACAACTTTACAAAATATCTTTTTATAAGACTTTACATAGTTAAGAAAAGTTGGGTCTGTATAGGTACTGGTTTTGGCTTGCCAATGCAACTCACGCTTTCTTTTGCTAGAAACCTTGATACCTGTTGTTACCCAATCCAATATAACAGTTTTTATCTTTGATTTCTTTTTTACAGCCTTTAGTGGGAAATAATGATTCAACTGCCCTATAAAATACCTCAAAAAATGGTTGTAACTATCATTAACGTTACAATTATCCAAACATAATTGACTTTTGATAATTGATAAGTTACTTTTATAAAAACTTATAAAACTCATAGCACCCCGATTAACAAGTCCAGCTGTTGCATACGCAACCAGCTATCTGCAGAAAAATTAATGGAAAATTTCAAATTACTGAGGTAGCGATAAGGACCTAATCCTTAGATTAATGTAGAGTTCTCTTTATAACTTAGTTTTGACAAAATCACACCTAGGAATTTATTGGGGGAGGGGGCACAAGGTTTGGATCTCATTAAATTAAATTATGTCTGTCTATTATGGTACGATACATAACAATTTCCTCCAAAAAACCTTCTAAAAAGAACAGGGTTTATTGGTTTATTCCCTCTTCTGCATGACCGGAGTTTTTGGAGACATGCCTGTTATGTAACAAAACTACTGTACTTGTAAAGCCATTAGCCAGCTCAACATCTTGACTAAAATACAATATACAGTGACCATTATTTGTGTTACTGATGAATTCAAACTCTATTCGATTTTCCAATTCCCTCAGAAAATGTGTCGAGCTACAATTATGCAGTTGAATTTTATTACCCCTGTTGCCATATTTTCAAGAATAAATTGTACATTTTCAGTTGTGTTTAGTGGATTTCCTATACGCCAAAGTATAGTCCACCTTTAATTATGATTAAAAAACCTTTAAGAAACCTTTAGGAAACCCACTAGTCCAACGCTCTCCGACACAACACCTTCCTACAAGTCTCCGACACCTTCCAACAAAATTACTTTGTGGCTTTAAATGGACTGTAACCCACATTGCTCTCTGGAACATTGTTGTCGGACGTCGGATCCGACTTGTCTCCAGTCTGCGTGCACCAGACCTAGATTCGTCACTGTCTAGCTTTGTGTGTGACATGAGTATTGACAAACGTTTTATCGAAGCGGTTTGGGAGCATCCCTTTCTTTATACAGTAGGTTATAAAAGCTGCATAAAGGACATATTCTGATGCTTTCAATGATGCAAGTTCTATGCATTTGAGTGGTGATTGGTTTTTAAATTGTGGACCAACTATTATAGAAAACGATTATGCGAACAAAGAACCATCAGATGGACAAATGATGACCTCTTTTACTACTCTAGCAGCCAAAAAATTAACAAAAAAAGCCTGAAATATCTAATTTTTCATCGGTTACTGACGGAGCCCGTTGGGCCAATGGGTTCTTGCCTGTAAAAGAACAAACTATTGTTAGTTCTGTAGTTATGTTCTAATTGTCTATTTTAAAGTATATTATTTATGATTTTTTTCAAGGTCTGCATTTAGGAGCATGGAAAAAGAGAACAAAGAATTTTACAATAAGCCTAGTCCGTACATTACTGCTAACTTGTTCTCCAAGCTTACTTTCAGGTAAAAACTGTTGCTTGATTTTTATATTTCATTTCATTTTCCTGGTATTTTGTTTCATTTCATTTTTGAAGTTGATACACAAAAGGAAATATTGTTATTATCAATTAAGACCAGGGCGCTACTTGGGTGTATTTTATCACAGAATGTAGTGAAACGCCTTATGTAGTTTTATTACTGACTAAAAGACCAGGGGCCCATTTCATAATAAAGTACAAACTAATATTATTAGTAAATCAGCTGATCACCCAATGCAAATCTTATGGAAATTACAAGTTACAACTTGTAACTTGTAACTTGTAGTTTATTATGAAATGGGCCCCTGCTGTTTCATTAGCCTCACCATTTAATAAAATGTGAATCATGTTTAAAACTACTTATTTTACAGTTGGACTTTCAAAACATTCTGGAAGGGCTATAAAAGAGATTTGGATTCCAATGATCTTTTTACTCCACTGGATGAGCATAGATCTTCAAAACTGGGTGACTGCATTGAAAAGTAAGTTAACATACATTTTACATTAAATATCAAAAATTACTTGTGGTACTGCCATTCTAAACTATGTAAAATTATTAGATAACTAGTTGTTTAGCCCGTGCTTCGCAACGGGCAAGAATTCTTAAGGGAATAATGTGGGTCCCTAAATCTACTGTAAAAACAGTTTAGAGGTAAAGCTCAATTGTAACTATTGCTTATTTTAATGAAAATCTCTCACGTATTTACATGTGAGACGGAATAAAAACTAATAACGTTATTGTAGTGTAAAAAATTAACTCAGGAATAGTTATAAACTCAATGGTTCTTTAAAGCTGGATATAAAAATTCTTAAAAAAGGTGTACAAAACATCGGCTAACCGTTACATACCTTACAGCTAACAGATGAACATTAAGATTCAATAGTGGACCATGTAGAGCTTTTAATTTTTAGTTATAACAGCATAATATAAAAACTTTCCTTACACAAAAAATTTAGTTTAAATGTGTAAAAGACATAAACACAATATGTCTTACACAAAACAAACAAATATTACATTTTTATCAACCATGTGCAGGCATGCAGTAAGTCAGGACTACTTATGTGTGATTAAAGGTAGATAAGGAAGTTTTTTAACTGGATGTTGAGGCATTTTACAAAACAAATAATCTTTTATAGGCTCTGGAATAAAAAATGTGCAGAACAGAGAGGGCACAAACGGAAGCCCAGCCTTTTCCGACTTCTGCTTCGGATTTTCGGTCTACAAATCTTCAGTCTTAGTTTTGTCTTAGCTCTCATGGAGGTAGTGGTCAAGTATGTACTTGTAAAGGATGTAACAATAAAGATCACAGGGCCTAGATTAAAGGATATTGGTTAGGGTAGAAGGTTTACCTGATTGGGAAAGATGTATACACAAAATTTTAAAAGTTATAACTCCCTTAATAATATAAGTTAAGAACTAATTACAGTATTTTTCTTTATGTTGACAAATTCCAAACAAGTTATAGAGTTAACATTAAAATGTTTATTGAAGTAGTAATCCCTTTACATGCTAAAGCTATGTCCAGCTTTTGATCTTCTACAGAGATCTAGATACATATATTGAAGCTTATAAATTAATTTTGCCACTCATCTTGTAAGCTATTGTGAGTTTTCTTCTCGTTAAGACTTTTAACAGTCAATGGTTGAAGATATCGACTTTTCAGTCTGAATGGAGAATTGTGTTCCAATACATATACATACTTCTCTAAGTATCTCCCCTTTATCTCTAAGTAAGTAAGTAATTCTATTCTATGATATTTCTAACAGGGCATAAGAAATTGTACCATTGTATTCTCCAAATATCATCTTTAATTTGTTTAAGGGTATCACAGCCCTTGTTTTTGGGCGGCCTTATAGAGTACTTCCGTCAGAACAGTGGGGTTACAATCTACGATGCTTATCTCAGTGCAGCTGGTATAGTGGTTTGCTCAGCCATTAACGTGTTGGTGATCCACCCTTACATGATGGGAATAATGCATGTGGGGATGAAGATGAGACTTTGTTGCAGCTCCTTAGTATATAGAAAGGTAAAGATTATATTTATCGATTCTGTGTGTTATGAAATTTTATTCCATCTTATCCAGTTACTTGGTCTTGATAAGGAGAGGTGAAGGCTGGGTAAGTTAAGAGTAGTCATCTATACTGTGAGAGGGGGAGGGGGGTGAAATATTTGTTATTCCTACCTTTCTACCAATAAATTATGTTCTTATGCTTGGTTTTGAGCAGTTCTTTGCCAATTTTTTTGGAAACCCCTAATCTATCTAGGAATTTTGGACTTTTCAAATTATAAAACATAATATTTGCAGTCAATAGTCATGAATCATGAATAGGGATGTTTCAGAGTGAATAATAAAAAGACCAAATGAATCAAATCTCCATAAAACCATTCCTACAGGCACGTTTTCCTAGATGCATGGTATACGCCGCAGCGGAGTGCTGCGCTGCGGGGTGTCCGCAGAGCACACAATACACAGTACTACGCCAGAGTGTTTTCCTAGGAATAGTACATCACGCCCCGCCAGCTGGGTTCAGACTGCAGCTGCCCTGATTCATTCTAGAGGAGTCTACATTGCAGTTCGCAACGGGATAGCGAGGAGTTTGTGTTGTTGTGCAACGAGTCCGCACCCCACTAAGTTTAGGAAAACACTACAGTAGTCCGTTTTTGTCTGTGATGCGGTCTAAAAATACATTGAACATTGAACAGCTAGAAAAACGTGCCTGGGCGTAATTAAAATTAACTAGAACACAAATCTTTGAATTCTGGCCCCTGGTAGTAATAAAAATAAATATTCCAGGCTCTACAACTGAGTAAAGTGGCCTTGAATGAAGCCACTGTTGGAAGAGTAGTCAATTTGGTGAGCAATGATGTTGGTCGACTGGACGGATGTATTCTGTTCTTCCCTTACCTCATCATCGGTCCTCTACAAACCATGGCGGTTACATACTTCTTGTGGGAACAGATTGGCCTTGCGTCTGTGTTCGGGGTGGCAGCGATGCTCACATTCATACCAATACAAGGTAAAATTCCGGGGATTATGGGCAGTTGAATCATATACTGTAGGTTTTCCTCAGTATTGCCACTTCCTTGAAGTTTTTAAATGCCTATCTCTTGTACATAGGGCACCTTTCTTCAAAAATTATACTATAACTATTAGTACAGCTCTGAAACATGTTCAGGTCTTTACCAGAGAGGTGACTTGTTGATTCATCAATTCAACACTATCTTAATTTTTTTTTTACTACACAACCATATGATATTTTTCACAAGTAGTATTCTTTACATGTTCAGTTTACATAAAATCTTAATAATCAAGTTTCTTGTTCTTCTTTTGTTTTATATTATGCATATTTGACAATATCACCTGTTCCTCTAGCTGCGCTAGAAACTTGGAATGTATTCTTGTGTATGTGACAATAAAGTAATATTTATTTATTTATGCTTCCCAATTTTTATCTTTGGGCTTTATACTATCTAACAAAAAGGTTGACTTTGAATAGTAACAAGACCAGGATTTGGACCGTTCCCTTTCATAACATAAAAAATGCCTTTGGCGTAGCAAACACACATAATAAATATCTCCTAAGCGTCATTTTTCAATGACTGGTGTTTCGCAAAATCTAACTTTCTGGTTCAATATTCTTCCTCACACAGACATTTGGTTCTACTTTTTAACAAAATTGATAATTTGTCCAACAGAAAACAATCGCAACCTTTACTGTGTTTGGTTTTGTCACATTTCTAGTGTCTGTGAAATCTGTGTAAAATGACGTGTGATGCATATTTAAAAAAATTAAGGATATATGAACAATTTGCCAACATACCAATACCAATCATTGTAAGCACATATAATCTCACTCACATTTTTTCAACAATTTCTTTTAAAATCAACTGGGTGTATATTTCAGGACCATTTTATCCAGGGCTCTTATAAATAAATAAATAATAAATAACAAATAATAATAATAAATTAATAAATAAATTAATTAATTAATTGTTATTTGCTATAAGAAACAATCTACCTATTATCAAATGTTTGATCTCTACTCAATATTTTTTTTAAGTTCTTAAAATTTGAATATGTGATTTTTAGTGTGGTTGGGGAAAAAAACATCCAGTATTCGTCTGCGTACTGCAGCGCGGACCGACAAAAGAGTAAGACTGATGAATGAAATCATCAATGGCATTCAAGTAATCAAGATGTTCACTTGGGAGGACCCGTTTACAAAACTTATTTCTGATGCCCGAAGGTAACGTCTTTTGAATGATATATCTATCTGAGCTTTTCCAATAAACCCATGAAATTATTCAGTAAAATGGAAAAACGGTTTTGCAATTTCTGTAATCTTTTGCTTTTATAGAGAAGTATTATTTTGTCATCTTGAATGACCAATCTCGAATTCAAAGAGAAATCTTTCTTCGACCTTAATATTTGATAATAAAACAACTCTACTGCAGCATTTATTAGCTAGCAATATATACTGTTTAGAAACATCTTAGTTTATTTTTGCTTAGACTGTTGGTACAGTAAATACGTAGCCTAAATAAAAAAAAAAACTTGTTTACTGTACAGCTTATTTGAGAATGAGAATAGTATATGTAACTCAGTAAAATTTATTCACATCACTACACATTTTTTTTCTTAATGAAATTAACAATTAGTTTGTTGTAGAGCAGAACTAAAAGAGATCTCCAAATCTTCATATATCCGAGGTATTCTGTCATCATTTACGATTTTCCATATCCGCATAGCCATCTTTGTAAGTCTCCTAGCCTATGTCTTCAGTGGAAGCTACATCAATGCTACAAAGGTAAATACAAGCATAAATTATATTAGAAAATGTTTTTTCATCATAAAACATTGCTGCACTCAAGAAACTATATATCCTTCATCGTTAGGCGCAAATATTTGCACAAAGCTATTGGAGGCATTTATGTTCATTCCCAGATCACAAGAAACATTCGACTCAGCTCGGTTATCAACTTTCTGTTGTTCTCAGGAATGTGCCTTTGTTGTTGTTGCCTTTGTTCTTTGTCAAAGTTGTTGCCAGTTTTTTTATCAAAATCGTCTTAGCTTATGTGAGCCATTTCGGTTGAATACACAAACATTTTTACCTAGTCAAACCCAAACGGTTATGACCCGCTAACTTGGCCATCAACAAAACATAATGCAGAAAATAGTATTTTAGACACTAGAACATTCTGTGACTGTGTGACACAACTACCGGTATGTTCTATTTTAGTAAAAAATCGGCAACAGCTATTCCATCTCGTAGATGGGATGTCTACCTCAGGATCCAATAGTGAAAATGTATGAATGTGATTGTTTGTTAGTTTCTTTTTGGCTTCCATATGCTTTTTTGACAGACAATTGCAGAGTTATTCATTAAATAATTATTTTTGTATCTTAAGAAATGCTGTTTGTTTTTACAGGTGTATATTGTCACTTCATATTACAATGTTCTTCAACATACAATGACAATATTCATGCCAAAAGCTATTACCCAAGGAGCAGAAGCATTGGTTTCCATAAAAAGGCTTCAGGTGTGTACTTTATGAAGTGATAACCAGTACAAATTTTAATCTCTGTAAATAAGTTTCGTCGTCAATATACACGATTCAATTTGTTTTTATATCACAGACAATTTCTTAAAAAGAAAATTCAGATATGATAAAACTGAAGGGTTTATTAAAACACAAAAATAAACTTGTGTTCTTAATAGCATAATCAGAACAACAAACTACGCTTGTTTACCTTTTTAAAACAATATTAAACACATGACTGTAAATTTAAATTAATGTTGAAAACGAAACAGTCTTCCAGCATCAAATATAAGCCAGTCCCTCAGCAAAAGATTTAAATAGATATTGGAGTTCTAAATTAATAATTGATTTGGTATATCACGACATAAGTTTGAATATTTTTTTATATGGGTAGGGATAACCATAGATGACTAGTAATTTAGTTTTTGATGTTTCATCTAAAAAAAACACAGGATAAATAGAGTATCGGAAAGTTATAAATACAAACTGAAGTGTCTACAATGTTTTCCCTTTTAATAAAAATTTAGAAGTTCTATAAATGTATGAATGAAAACATTCTATGACTATATGTTGTGAGTCTAGTCAGTTCATCATGCTACAATCTATAACACCAATACAATATATTTCAGGATTTCTTAAATTCAGCTGAAACTGAAGCTCCCACTCTATCAAGAGAAGATAAAGAGGCGATTGTTGTCGAACAAGATGAAATATCAGAAGTGGCTGTCGAGCGCAAGCCACAGTTTGCCGTATCCATCATGGACGGAGTTGCCAAGTGGACTACAAGCCAACTTGAGAACTCTCTTGTCAATGTGAATCTCAACGTTCGGAGTGGACAACTAGTGGCCGTCATCGGTTCCGTTGGTTGCGGCAAGGTAGTCGGCAAGTCTCAGTATGATCTCTTGAGTTCCATGATTCAAGTCAGCTTTCCATGTTATTCAAGTCAGCTTTTGTTATTCAAGTTAGCTTTTCATGTTATTCAAGTCAATGAGTAATGGATAATCTTCAGTCATACTGACGAGATGTTGGTATTTGAACAACTCTCCATAAACATTTTGAATCACAATATGCGTAGACTAAAAGAAAATGTAATTTTGTTCTACCCAAACAAATTAAACATAAATACAGGGTAAAATTAGAAAAGTGATTTATGTGAAGGCAGTGGAATTTTAAAAGATTCCCCTTTCATCAGTTTTCAATGTTCATAAACAAGTTTGTAAATCTTTCTTTAATTATGCTTTACAACTGTCTCGGAAAACATATCTTAATGTGAATGAATCATGTTTAGAAGGCAAATTACTTTGGATGAATAATCTTTTCCACAATAGTAGACATTTCGTCCATTGCTATTAGAATGTATAGTCATAAACACTCTTTCACTAATTCACTCACCTAAAAATTGTTTCCAGACTTCACTTCTGCAAGTTATCCTAAGAGAGTTGCCTTTGTCCTCTGGAAGTATTCATGTGTCAGGGAAACTCTCGTACGCCAGTCAAGAGCCTTGGCTGTTCGCTGGGAGTGTCCGGCAGAACATTTTATTCGGAGCTCCTTACGACAAGCAGCGATACCAGAAAGTGGTGGAAGTGTGCGCGTTGTGGCAAGACTTCAAACAGCTATTCGCTGGAGATAAGACCATCGTAGGAGATCGAGGAGTGTCCCTCAGTGGTGGACAGAAAGCTAGAATCAACCTTGCAAGGTATTGTAAGTATAAAGTATCTTTTACTTTTTTTCCACCCTGTTATAGACTATTGATCTGTATTGTGATTTAAAGACAGTATCATTACGGTGTAAGTCACATGGAGAGCCACTGCAATGGTAACTGCAATGATAAATAGGTGCAGGTAATAATGTCAGCCTTATCAGCGTCAACCACTACCACATTAAAAGATTTTAATAGTATTTTATAATAGCCTAATTGTGACTAATAACTACAGGTATGGCTCATTACAATGGTGGTTATTTTGATTTTATTGTAGTTGTATGTTATCAAATCAAAAACATCCTTGATGCATCTTTCTACATTGTACAGGATAGTTTCAGCATTACTATTTCATATTTTACTCTAACACCTTTTAAAATCCAATTTGAAAACATTGAACGCATTTAGTTGTTTATAATTTCTTATGTTTATGGCACATAAGTAATTTCTACCACATGTATTGTTCCTAATGTAATGTATTTGATTGATCCCCTGAATAATTTAATCTCAGTTGAATGTTTCAGAGCTGTGTACAAGCAAGCAGATATTTACCTATTGGATGACCCTTTGTCAGCTGTGGACCCCAGAGTGGGGAAACACATTTTCCAAGAGTGCATAAAAGGTAAGATAGGTGAAAAGTCAGGTTTTCCTAGGCGCGGAAGTGGAGAGCGGAGAGAGGACTCCACTTGTCTTAGGTACGGTAATTTAATGTTACTGTTTTCCTAGAAGCAGGGCGGAACACCATGTTAATCTCTTTTCCGCTCTTCGTGTTTGTCTCTCCGCTTCCGCGCCTAGGAAAACCCAGCTTTAAGAGTCCTTGAAGGCTAGCAACCATCTTGGATAATTTTAAACAGCTGCTGAAGAGTTATTTATCGTCCAAGAACATTTTTTCAAACACCAAACAGATTACAGTTTAAATATCTGCGGTATACTGTGGGATTAGAAATGTTCTTTTTAGTTTTGAATTGTTCTCCAAGGGAGTCCATGGAAGCTAACGGCCATCTTCCATTTGCCTGCCATAAGAGCAATGATAATTTTGTTCATTTCAAACAGCCACTGAAAAGTTATTTACCATCTCAAAATATTTTAAAACGCCAGATTGATTTTAGTATAAATATCTTTGTTTTACGAGTTACGTCGAGGCTCCAAGGACTCTTAATAGAAATGTCAACTGATTCAATAAAAATTGGTTTAGTAAACAACTCATTAAACAACTATAAACAATGTTAATGCATAGTATGATACAATCTTCTTTCTAATAATTTGGTTTACTATGGTTGCCAGATTCTTGAAAATTCTTGAAGCTGGAATAACACACAAATCTTCTTTCATTATAGCTTGCCACTATTAGAATGAAAATGCAGATTTTTCAGCAGAGTTAAGTTGATTATTCTTCATTTGGACTTTACAAAGTTACATAATTTGACATGTCTAGTTTTTCAATTGATTTAAGGTTTTCTGAAGACCAAAACGGTGTTGTTGGTGACCCACCAGCTACAACATTTGGATGGAATGCAGCATATTGTCCTTATGCAAGGGGTATGGATCACTTTACTTTACCCAACTCTCTTTTGTTTATTTATACGTGTTGATCCATCATGATTTCATACAAAGTAGTGCTATATAAATATGTCCAACACTAATTATTATTATCTGATTCCTCTTATTGCTATTCATACCCAAGATGTTTGACCTTGTTGACTGTCTCCATTTCTATCGCTCCTGTATCTTTTTATCCGCTCTCTACATTTGCATGTAAAATTTTATCCGCTACTTCCTACTTCATTTTTTTACCTCTTGAGTGTAGAATGTTGAAAATGTATACCTCCCTCCGAATGTTCCTCTTTCTGTTTGTTTCGTTATGGCTTTATCATGCCTCCACATCGCATGTCCAGTAAATTGGATTTTTTTAATTATCATTAACTTTGGATACTGATGAAGACATCTCTTTGGATCAGATTTGTAGTTAGATTTTTACCCAATTTATTGCAATTCCTTTTTATTTCTCATGTAGCTAAAACTTTGAAACGAAAACTGTATATCCAGTCCCATGGTTTGCATGTGATGGATGCACTATGGGCCCAAGAGAAAATGGCCCCCCCTTCCTACCTTGTAGATCAACTTTTCTCTTCCTTATGCCCCTGAGCCCAGGCCCATTTATTAAAGCGGCCGTGTGACATTCATAGTTAGTGTATCTATTGTATAACTAGCTATCAAACTATGCTAATTAAAGAATCAACTAAAAACAAAACCTTAATATCAATTTATATCATCTCCTTCATCCTACAATTATTCACCACTAATGTTCACCTTATTATTCCAAACAATAAAATTGTTACCTCAGGCATTTTAATTCAAATACACTAAACAGTATTTACTGTTTTGATTGATTTTCACATTTATTTACTCTTAACAGACAATCTTTAGGATATTTAAAAATATTGAATTTACAGTAAATAAGAAGCTTACAAACCATTCTACTTGTCTATGGAGGTCATTTCACTCCTAGCATCACATATGGAATCTGTAGTAACAGAATACAAATAAACTGATTCCCTCCCTCATTTTCAGGGTCGTGTAGTTGACAAGGGTACTTTCAGGGAGCTTCAGGCTTCAGGCCAACAATTCTCCAAACTGCTGCTGTCGTCAATTGCGCAAGAAGCCAAACTGTCACTGACCCCAGAGGAGCCTCGGATCTCACGGACTCGTCTGACCTCACACCAGGTAAACTTGAGTGAATATGTTTTGTATGAATACGATAGGCAATGCAACAGAATCTTATATTAAGGGATGCCTCATAAAAAAAACTTGATGGATCAAAACTACAATTAAGATACAATAAGAGATTTTTTTTCAAAAAATTATATCAGCGACTCATTAAAAAAATGTAGGACTGTTAAAACAAAGGTTTTCATTTATGACTTGTACCTAACCTGTGTCTTATTTTGTTCTTTTACTACTATACAGTTCTTTGTGTTATCTTTTGTTATTTTCCACTTATTGCATGTCTTTTTAGTAATATTTTTGTATTCAAAATCATATCTAACCTAAGAACTCTGATTCCAGATCCCAAAACGTCATGAAAACTCACTTTTAACCGATCCTGATTGAAAATATCTACAATATTCCCATTGTTTAGATATGCAGCGTATCAGTTTGAATTTAGTGAATCAATTAGATCCATTCATCGTACATATTTTAATTTGACCATCTCCTCTGATTGCAGAGTATTTGCTCGTCAGTCGATGGCATTGACAATGAGGACAAGGGGTCAGTTGAGAGCTATGCCACGGGGAGGATCCGTTCGTATGTTTTCACCGAGTACTTCTCTGCCGCGGGAAACATGTGTCGTGTTGTGCTCATGCTTCTTCTCTGTCTTATGACTCAGTTGCTGGCCAACGGAGGCGATTATTGGGTGACGCACTGGTGTGTTTTTGTCTCAAATTATCTAGAATGTTTAGAGTTGAGGAAAGCAAAGTGATCTTAAATTAAAACATTTTACTATAGTTTTGCATCCTGTATCTTTTATCTGAAATGTGTGGTGTGAAAAAAAAGTTTAAAGTTGAAGGATCGAGGGTTTTGATCGGAAAGAGGTTTGTTTGGTTACAGAGAAAAATACGTGTTTGGGGTGATTTTTGCAGTGAAAAGATGCAGCAATGTAACTGTTTATATTATTAAGTTAATGTGATGTAATTGAAGTAAAATCGATAGGTGGATTATTTCAAGACATTTTTAAGACATTTAATATACATATCTATTGCTTTATTGAAGGTTATCTATAAGGACTACCTAAGTGTTAGGTATTATTTAGATTCAGAATGTGTCTGAATAAACAATCAATAAACATCTATAGAATCTTACTTTTGTTTCAGTACCAGTTAATTTTCCAATTTTTTTCTGTTATCTTAAAAATTATTTTAATTGGTTTTTTTATCTGTGACACAATATATCTTGATCCAAAATCTTTTTATTTCATCCACAAGACATTTTGTTATATATGTTTCTACAATCAGAGTAGTAGATTGCACTAAAATTATCAGGATCATTTTGAATCGATAACATCTTTGGCCAAGGAAGCAATATTTTAGTTTTGCCAGTACACTAATATGTTTTGACAATCTCCCATAAATACAAACAAAGTATTAATTACTCAGAGATAAAAATATATAAAGCAATAACAAAGTTGGCAACAAATTATTTAATGATCTAACGTGTTTCCCAGGGTGAACCTAGAGGAGTACGCCTATCCACGCCAGAGTGTTACTACCACAAACACTACCACTGTGGCTCCCCACTTTCTGTTCTACACTCCAAGAGATGTCTGCGTCACGGTGTTTGCGATATTAACTGTAGCAATGTTTGTTGTTACCTTACTGCGATCGTACTTGTTCTTCTTCTTGTGCATGCGTTCCTCAATGAAGCTGCACATTCAAATGGTCAACTCTGTCACTAGAGCGACAATGCACTTCTTTCACAATACATCATCTGGTGAGTCAATTAGACATACAAGATCAAAGTAAATATTCTTTTACAAACAAATAATATTGTAGGAATCGATCTGCAAACAAGTAATTCTGAAAAATGGTTTGAGAGGTTTAAAAGAAATGTTTAAAGAGATCCACGGCAGTCATGACTTCTCTTTGTATGCATAGGCTTGAGAAATTTGGTATGGTGAGTCTGTGAGTCAGTCGCTCAGTCAGTAGCGTCGCGGACTTCGGGCCCTAGATAACGATGACGTGGGTTTGGATCCTGTTCACTGCCACTAAATTATCAGTACAGTTCACCCTTGGTTTGCTAAGGCTATACATTGAGTAAGGGCAAATGCAAGGTTAAAAGAGGCCGACAACCTCTTTAATTAAAAAAAGAAAAGACAAAAAGTGGTCAGTTTTTGAAAATGTTCCCTACCACACTTCTATGTACCGTACGTTAAGGTTTGTGATACTTTTTACTCCTGACATATCAATACAGAGAACAGTGTAGAATCACCATGAAAAGTGCAGCATGAAAGATTTATTGACCCAAGAACAAATTGGAAATCCATTATTGAAGTAATTGTTGGTGATGGTGAGTTAATGTTTTTTTAAAGGGTTTTTTGTTAAGGTTTATTAAAAAAAATTCCATTACAATGATAAAATACAATACACAACGTTTCAGGATCTGGAATCTGATCCCGTCCTCAGGTGAAAACACTTAACCAACACATTACAACTAACAATACACATAGCCCAACCTTAGTGTTGGACAAACTACAGACAGTAGCAGTCAAGACATGATAAGAAATTCAAAATTACCAATCACAAAACAAAACAAAAAAATTGAGTTCAATATATAAATGGAATAAATCCAACTAATTGAGACTTATTGTTTTTAGGAAGAATATTAAATAGATTTTCCAAGGACATTGGAAATATAGATGAAAGCCTTCCAAATGCTCTCATTGAGTGTATCCAGGTAGGAGATTTGATATTGTCTTTTCTTATAATGAAGATTACCAGTGCTTGATTTGTGGCGGAACGGCATTCCGGTACTTCTCTTTCAGAAATATAAAAATGGCATGGCGGGGAGGGGGGGGGGGGGATAATCCCGGTTAGTTACAGTTCTGACACCTCACTTTTTTTACAAATCAAGCACTGAAGATTATTTTATAAAATATATTTGGTTAGAACCTTGATAAGAAGACTCTCATGATGATTATTAAATAAGGCTTGTTATCAAGATTGACTCCTTATTGAGGTTTGCATAACATGTGATTAAGGGTAAAATAAATTAAAATGGATATGAAAATGACACTTGTTATCAAAGGTGACTTGTTATCGAGGGTCTTCTTATCGAGGTTCCACTGTTTTAATATAACTCTGGTTATATTACAAACAAGTTATTCTGAGATCTGTCAACTGCCTGCAAGTGTTCAACTACCAGCGGGACTTGTTTTAGGACATGTTTCAGAACTTGTTGAGGGTCTTGTCTTGTTGCAGGTTATGTTTTGGGAAACATTGCGGGACAGTAGGACATGTGTGCGGGACTTGATTAATGGAGAGTTAGGTTAATCAACCTCCTCTTAATACAGTAACATACAATGTTTGTCTATGTGACAAGTTTTTTAATTAATAATCTATAAATGTACTTTTTTATTTTTCTTACAGAGATCACTGACACTGCTAGGGGTTATTCTGGTGGTAGCAGTTGTGAATCCGTGGGTTCTCCTGCCCACAGCGATCATTGCGTTTCTGCTCTACCTGCTTCGCAAGATGTATCTTTCTACGTCACGGGCTGTCAAAAGACTAGAGAGTGTTGGTTTGTTGTTTGTATAGACGTTTTTAACAATATCAACCAAAACCATAATGTAACTCACAAAGAAGTTGAACCAATCTATTTATTATATGAGAAGTGCAGCATGCAAAAAATGTGGATATCTGAAAAGAAACATAAAATATAAAATCAAGCATTTATTAGGTTAAGTGGATTTATTTATTTATTAAGGTAGACAGAACTGTAATATTCAAAAATATTGCCATGGATTCAAATGTATATGAAACCTTTAGCTTATTTGCATGATGAACTAACAAATTGCAAGACAATTTGACAAAACACGTAATGCAAATAACATGAACAAAAGTGCAAATAAATAACAAATAAATAAACAGACATAATTGTTCTCTCATTTAAAAATGGAATTTAAGCATAGGGATCATTAGATATTCTAAAGTGTAGAGGTTTTCAACTCTATGACTTTGAACTTAAACAAAAACATCAACTCAAATACTTATTTGTATAGTCGAGTAAATCCGTACGAGAACCCTAAAAAAATTGCTTTAAATTGTTTTATTGGTTATTTTGGCTTAGAATTATGTTTATTTTCCAGGAAAAAAAGTCTAATGAAATCGGAGTCTCGGAAGTCCAAAATTCAAGATGGCGTCCAAGATGTTGGTCAAATGTGTCCGTTAGCACAATAACTCAAGCAAAAATGATCCGAATTCGATGAAATTTGGTACCAACATGTAAACCTACATCTATTTGTACGAGTTCGCGAACCAGCATGATCGGACCATGGGAACAGGGGTTTATGGGGGGGTTTTATGGGGTAAAAATTGGTTTTCCCCATTTTTGACCCTAAAAACGTAAAATTTTGCAATTTATTTCGAAACCATTTCTGGGCTCAGAAAAAAAAACAATTTAGTACATTGAAGCGTTGTCATGGGCCTAATACCTAGTTACGGAGAAAATTCAAAAAAAAATTAAATTTAAATTTAAAAATCCTATGTTATTCTTACGGAGAATAAGAAAACTTGTTGTAGTTAGCCTGTATATGAAAATATTTTTATCAAATTTGGAAAATGCATTTGTTTTTTACTAAACTATTTAACATTTTACTAAAAACACTTTTTTACCCTCCCTGTCGCAGCAAACCGAAGTACTAGTTAAAGTATTGCTATTTAAATAGGGAATAAATGTGATATTTTTAATGTGATATTTTAGTGTAAATTCAATCAGGCAAATTGAAATTCGCTTAGGGTGCAGGTTTGCTGCGGCGGGGGTATTTTAATTTATGACTAATTTTTGCTTGAAAAATCCAATAATAGGTCTTAAAATAAAGATCACAAGCTTGCTAAAATGCAACATACATATTTTATTTACTTAAATAAATATCTATACATTTTTAGCCCGAAAGGATTTTTTAGATAAGAATAGGCTTGTATTAATCGGGAATCTGACCTATCATAATAATTTCAACTTAATCCGACCAGAAGTTAATGCGTGATTGAACTTCAAACAAACAAACTGTCACTAATTAATTTAATTTCCCAATAATATAATGTAATTTCCCAATTTTGTCCAAATTCAGGGACAAATTCATAGATATATTTCTGACTTACTACCGCGAAATGGGGAGTTGCCTTCATAATAATTAATAATAATTTTAACCTTTACATACATTTGGCTCTCAAAATGGAAACTATAACAGGATTCGTAAGATTACAAAACAAATCTTCAAACTTTAAACTAGAAAAGATGTGCAATGTTTGGCAGTATGATTTTAGCTCTGATTCGTCGTTCTCCGGGCTCAGGCCAAACCGTGTGCTCGTTTCCATTTGTTATGTTGTGTTATTGATTTAAATCATTATTTTACAATTGTATTTCATTGACACATCAAAAGCATCTAATATACGACTCCAACGGAAGGAAAATCAAGATATAAAAAAAGAAACACTGTTAATTTTAAGTAACATAAAATTGATAATTTTAAAAACATATTTCGAGTATTTGTCTTTTTATATATGGTTTTTTATTGTTGTCTAGATTAGGGGCCATTGCCTCTACACGCCACTAGTTATAGTACATATTTATTGATCAGACAGTCAAAATGTGTAGTTTTGAAAATTGATCTTTTACAGTTATCGTTTGTCTAAGTATAGCATGATTCTTATAGCATTTTTAGAGTTTCAGAACTGTATCTAAACTTTTTGGGCGTTCCTCCATAGATTGCCAGACCATAAGACAAAATATTTTTATTTTAGAATGTCCAGGTTATTAGTGACACTGGCCCTAAAAACATATAACCCTGAAGAAAGTTTTTGTATTATGATTTGTGTATATTTAAGATTTGTGTCTAGGTTAAGCCCAAAAATTGAGTATGCTTAAGATCTCCTATTTTTTTACGGGGTAGAAATGGGATTTTCCCATTTTCACTGTAAAAAGTTGCAATTTATTTCCAAACCATTTTGAAGAGATCATAAAAACAAATAATTTAGTATACAGAAGCGTTGTTGTATGCCTAACGGTTACGGAGAAAATAAAAAAGTGTACATTTAAAATGACCATGTTATTCTTATGGAGAATAAATAATGTCTTAAAGCTTGCTTGTCTATGGAAATATTTTAGGGAAATTTGGAAATTTTGGCCATATTGAAAAAAAAAACCCGATTTTCGAGACTCCGATTTTATTAGACTTTTAGTTTGGTATTATTGCACATACTCATTGGAAATGTAAACCATCAAAAAATCTTTTAAAGCAATTGTTTTTAAGGTTAAGGGGTTTTATTTCATATCTTGACTAGACTAAATTTGATCTAAATAACTGTAAACATGAACAACAATACGATTGGAATCATATGAAATCAAAAAACATCTGATTAACAACAGTATTGCCAAAATAAACCTGTAAACATTATACATGTAATTATTTTTGTAATTAACTATTTGTGTTTTATTACTTAACTACAATTGAACGAGCGGAAGCGAATCCTGTGGAGTTTAAAAACAGCTGATTAACAACAGTATTACCAAAATATACCTGTTAACATTATACATATATTTTTTTATAAACTACTTGTGAACTATTACAAAATAAAAGAATTGAATGAGCGTAAAAAAAGTATTGAAACAAATTGTATTACTTGACTCAACACAGAATTCGCTTATGACAAAATATGTGTGTGTTAGTATCTGTGGAGACGATACAGGCCACGATGAATTGTTATCCAAGCTGAATAGTTATCCAAGCGTACCAACTATCAATTAAGATATGGTAATTTTTAGAATTCCCATAAGAATTACATAGTTTTTTTTATAACCATCCCACCACCACTTAAGATAATTTAATGATTAAGAATACTAAATTACATGTATTTTTTGAAGGATTTGCAACATGGGTATAGCACAGACTAGGGATAAAAAGTTTTGTTCCCTATAGTGACCAAAGTTGAAATAAGTTATTTACTACTAACAACTTATGACAGATTTTTACCTATTTTCAACCTCATACAACACGTTTGCTGTATGTTTTTTATCTTAAATCATGAATAGTTTATAGATAATACATACAGTTTCAAAGGTTTGTACCAAATTCTGTCTAAATTAGAGGTTCAGAAGAAAATTTACAGGGAAAATAGTAAGGTTTATTATTTTTTTAATTTTTGGACGCCATATTGGAAAACCCCAATTTCCGAGACTCCGATTTTATTAGACTTTTAGTATGTTATTTAACATACTTTTTGGAAATGAAAACCATCAAAAAACCTTTTAGAGCAATTTTTTTAAGGTTAAGGGTGTTTTTTCCATATCTTGACTAGACTAGTAACAAAAAATGTTTAAACAGGTTATAAAGGCTTTAAAGTGGGTAATATTAAGTTACATTATTCATCCTTAACGCAATAATTGACTGTATAATGCTATGATTCACAGCTCGGAGTCCGGTTTTTGCTCATTTGAACGCATCTTTACAAGGATTAACCACCATCCGAGCATTTGGGGCTCAGCACATACTTACTCAGGAATATGACTACCATCAGGTATTACAAATTTATAAGTATTTTTACTGGATAAAATTCTAATCTGTTCAATAAAGCTGTGTTATTGCATTACATTTTTTTGTCATTATAAGCTGTCACAAAAAAGACTAACTTGCACTAATTACTCAAAACACCCCCTCATTGTGTTTGTGTTTGTGTATTTTTAGCGAATTTCCCATAGGGAATAACCTATTACCGTAGTACTCATGGTAAGACCTGGACTCGGGACTGATTTTTTTTTTTCGTTTTGAGGTCCCTAGAGGCCAAAAACACCATCCGTCCAAATTCATATATATCTAAATATATAAAAGGCAAAGCCCTCACTGACTGACTCACTCACTCACTCACTCACTCATCACTAATTCTCCCACTTCCCATTTACCTAGGAGGCTGAAATTTGGTACACTGATTCTTTAGGCATTAAATAGGAAAACTAAGTTGTTTTAATTCTGATCGGACTCTCGGGCTCCGCCCCAGTGGCTCTGGAGTTTCCCATGTTAACCTTATGAGTACTCATATTTAAATGGAATTAATGAATCTTAACAGCTGTTTCAATTAAACAAGTTGGCTCTGTTCTAGGATGTTCAATAGCATTTAAGTTACAAGGATTACCAATAGGGTGCAGCACTATTTTTTTTTTTTAAATTTATGACAACAGCTAATTTGCAACCAAAAGGTGAGTGAGCGTAGCGAACGAACTTCATCCTAGAGGCGAGTTAGCGTAGCGAACGAACTTCAACCAGGACGTGATTGAGCCTTGCGAACAAGCTCACTTATGAAGTTAAACGGGGCGAAGCCCGCGGTTACAGCTAGTATATCTATATATATAAAAGGCAAAGCCATCACTGACTGACTGACTGACTCACTCACTCATCACTAATTCTCCCACTTCCCACTTACCTAGGAGGCTGAAATTTGGTACACTGATTCTTTAGGCATTAAATAGGAAAACTAAGTGGTTTTTATTCTGATCGGACTCTCGGGCTTCGCCCCAGTGGCTCTGGAGTTTCCCATGTTAACCTAATGAGTACTCATATTTAAATGGAATTAATGAATCTTAACAGCTGTTTCAATTAAACAAGTTGGTTCTGTTCTACGATGTTAAATAGTATTGAAGTTACAAGGATTACCAACAGAGTGCAGCACTATTATTTTTTAATATTTTACAACAGCTAATTTTAAACCAAAAGTGAGTGAGCGTAGGGAATGAGCTAACCTGAAGGCAAGTGAGCGCAGCGAACGAGCTCCAACCGTAAAGGTGAGTGAGCGTAGCGAACGAACTTCAACCAGGACGTGTGAGCGCAGCGAACGAGCTCCAACCTAAACGTGAGTGAGCGTAGCGAACGAACTTCAACCAGGACGTAATTGAGCCATGCGAACGATCTCACATATGAAGTTAAACGGGGCAAAGCCCGCGGGTACAGCTAGTATATATATATGTTATATATATATAACATATATATATATGTTATAGTATATATATTAGTATATATATATATAGTATATATGTTTATGTGTGTCCGTTAGCGCGATAACTCGAGCAAAAATGATCCGATTTTGATGAAATTTGGTATAAACGTGTAAACCTACATTTATTTGAACGAGTTTGCGAACCAGCATAATCGGACTACGGGAACGGGGGTTTACGGGGGGTTTTGTGGGGTAAAAGAAGGTTTTTCCCATTTTTTACCCAAAAAACATAAAATTTTGCAATTTCTTTCCAAACCATTTTGTAGAGCTTAAAAAACAAATAATTTAGTATATTGAAGCGTTATTATGCGCCTTATGGTTACGGAGAAAATTAAAAAAAATGTAAATTTAAAATTGCCATGTTAATTCTTATGGAGAACAAGTAAACTGTTGTAGTTTGCTTGTTTATGAACATATTTTGATCAAATATGGAAAATGTTTTTATTTGTTACTAACTATTAACATTTTACAAAAAAAACAGTTTTACCCTCCCTGATGCTGCAAACCTAAGTACTTGTTAAACTAATTCTATTTAAATAGGAAATAAATGTTATATTTTTAAGCAGACATTTTAGTGTAAATCCAATCAGGCAAATGGAAATTCGCTTAGTCTGCAGGTTTGCTGCGGCGGGGATGTTATTAATAACCTGTTTGTCTGTTTTTTAACTGTTATTGTTAATTGACAATATTTTCATTTGACAGTAAGCAATAAGCTTAAAAAGTCTTAGACATTTCAGAAAATTCCAAATACTAAACTTGGCTGCCAAAGTCAAGCTCAGCCAAAAGAATTAAAGACATGTTGGGCATTGAAGTTGTGCACAAGGTTGGTTGTGTCAATCAAACCGACCATATGGATAAAAATAATTGTATCAACACATTCTGACTATGCCAAGTTGCAAATAGCAAAATATGATGACAAATAAAATTGGACACTTTTAATCAAACGGCGACCAAGTTTGTACTTGTTTAAGCAATGTATGACTGATGAGAGATGAATGTTACCCAAATAATGTTTTGAAATACACAAAATAAAATAAATACATAATATCTCTGTAGCTTACAAACATTCGTGCAACACACTTACACTTACAACAGTGGCTGATTCACAGGGGAAGGGGGAAATTCCTCCTTCCCAAATTCCTAAAATCACTATTACAAAATAATAAATCCAAACTAATAGCTAATAGTTACAAATTGCAATTGAGTTAGAGTTAGTCAGATTTCTCAAAAAACCTCTTCTAAGGACATATAAATTTAAATAATTTCCGTCGGAGGGCTAAATTTTCTAGGATTTCCCTCCCTATACAAATTATGTGTTCCCCCACAAATGTTCTCTTTGGGTGCATTCCTGACTTAACCTTTCCCGGACGGGCGAAATCGTTGAAAAAAATTATAGGAAGAAATAAAAATCAATTTTCTTTATTTGTGTTTTGTTTTACAAGTATACATAAAATAAACACAATGGAACACTTCATACTGTTAAAATGATTTTTTACTCGTTTTTAACTATGCGGATATATTTGCTACCTGTCCGCGGATGAGTAGAAAAGCAGCAAATATATACGCCACCCGTCTTTGAAGATATGACCATGATAACGTTAATCAATAAATAAAGAACAATATGTAAACAATAAATAAAGACAACGTAGTGTTGAGCGCGAAACGTTGAGGGGGGAGCGTAGGAGAGGTGGGTTGGTGCGCGGGAGAGGGGGAGACGCAGGAGAGGGGCAGGCGCGGGTGAGAGAGGGGAATGCGGGAGAGAGCGCAGCCATGGAGAGAGCAGGAAAGTGGCGCCTTGGTACCGCAAACATCTGGTTCCTGGTCAAGCACCTGCCATTCTGTCTGAAGAAATGGCAGAATCCGCTTCCCGTCCGGAACATCAAAAACCATAAGCGGATATATCCGCCACCCGTCCTTTATCGCCAAAACCCGTCCGGGAAGCGTTAATAAGTAGCAAGTACCTTACAAAGTTTAAGTGTTGTTAAATTTTCATTGTTTTTAAACTAAACAAATTATTAGAGGCAAAGTTAGGACTGCCAAGTCTTTACTACAGAAAAAAATGTTTTTATCCAGCAATAAGCTACTTACTAAATATTCTCTTTTCTTACAGGACGTCCACTCGTCTGCTTGGTTCATGTTCCTTTCGTCCAGTCGGGCGTTTGGCATGTGGTTAGACATGGTATGCCTGCTGTACATTATTGTTGTGGTGTTCGGTTTTCTGCTGTTGAACCTGAGTAAGTCTCTTTTTGAATAATCCTACTAATATTATAAGTGAGAAAGTTTGGATGTTTGGATGGATGGATGGATGGATGTTTGTGAAAAGTAAACCCGAAAAATACTGGTCGGATTGTGTTGAAATTTGGTGTGATGATAGCTCCTACTCCCGATTAACATATAGACACATTCTCTTATCCTCTTATCTCAAAAATCCCTTCGGACTCCTCCCCAGTGGCTCTGCAATTTCCCGTGTTAACCTCACGAGTAGTCATATTTAAAAGGAATAAAATAATTTTGTCAGCTGTTTCAACTACACAAGTTGGTTCTTTAATAGCATTAAAAAGTTATAAGGTTTACCAACAGGGCACTATTAATGTTTTTTCATCTATGACAACATCTAATTTGAACCAACTAGCAACAAAAAGCTGTGAAAAACTATAATTTCACTTTTTTTATTGTTTAGGTGCAGTGGTTTAGGTTGCTATGGTAGATGTGTTATACTATATAGCATACCGTAAATTAAAAGAACCAAATTTCCTTAAGCTGTGTCCTCTCCCATTACAAACGCAAAGCACAAGTATAACTACAATAATCATTTTATACTTTATACTTTTATATCGTACGAAGGACGGGTACTCTGCATGTTGTAATTATTTGTTTGTATCTTTTGAGCTCTTCAATTATAAATATTTATTTAACAATGATAAATTAGATAAAGGGAGTTGTTAATTTGTGTAACACTAGATCAGACCGCATAGTTAACCAATGAGACATATAGTCATTAGCTGCTAAAATTTCAACTTTAAGTGCACGTGCAGGCACACAATACATAGAGGAAAAATCCAGCCTTTTCAAAATTTTTAGTCAAAACTTAGATGTCATGTAAAATTGTGTAAGAAATTTTGCTGTAAAATGTATGTACAAATAGGGTTTGTTAAGTTTTTAAAATATGTTCACTAACTGTACAAAAAGTTATTACAAGACTCATTTTACAAACTACAGTATAATGTTTGGATATCTTTCACATAACTGTTACAGCATTTTCTGCTACTAGGGCACTGTCATAAAAAGCTATTGATAGCTGGAGCTATTGATTTTTAATCATCGAAAAACCTTAATAAAAAATCACTTTTATGTTGGTTGTTCACCTTGCGTTTCCTTGAAACTAGTCGGATTTGAATAACTAATAGTATAAATGAAAGCCGGTATTGTGGTGAAGGTTCTTAGACCAAAATATATAGTATTATAATCATAACTGGTGAAATACCCGTACATCTTAAATTTAAGTAAGAATTCAAAAATAAATCAAATTTATGTTTTTTGGTCAAGTTATACAGTAGATTAATATATGCCGATGCTTGATATGATATCTGTGTGTGTATACCTTCAATTTTTCTATTTGAGACCTCAATTATGAAAATCGGTTGGGGAGAAGAGCCAAACGATCTCGTAAAAGAATTTTGTAATTATATAAGATTGTGTTGGCAGATGTGTTTGGAGGAGTCGTCGGCTTGTCCATCACCCAGGCGATGGGTCTAACAGGAATGTTGCAGTTCAGCATGAGGCAGTCAGCAGAACTGGAGAACATCATGACCAGTGTAGAGAGAGTTCTGGAGTACTGGAGGCTGGACTGTGAATCGACAATGGATCGTACTGAGGGTAACCTATCTGTCAACTAGTGGAATAAGTCAAGCCTAAAATTGTACAAATAATTCAACGGGTAGAAAAAGGTTGCAGTCATTGACTTTTAGAAACTGAAGCTCATCGTAACTTAATGGACCAGTGGATTAGTATTAAAATTAAACTTAGTTGAATATGCCATAGTGACTAGTAAGGGGGGTAAAACCGAGGATGCTTTGATAGAGGGAAAAAATTGAAAAATTATATTTTTATTGAGATTGATGTACACATAAATAAAGGGTAAACAGTGATGTTGGGGACTAACATATGGGAAAGGGATGTCTTCTAACAAAGCTATGGTGCTTGCTTTCCAATCACTAGGTTTGCATGTGATGTGCTATGGGCCCATGACAATTGTGTCCCTCCCACTTTTTTCCCGTGCGCCCCTAACAAACCTAAAAATTTTGAGCCTATGGGCCCGGGGTCCACAAGGACCATTTAAAGCAACCCTGCCGGACACCAAAGAAATTGTTGAGGATTTTTTATTGATTATACTCGACTTTAATGTTTGTTTGCACAGACAATAAACTATGTGAGATGTGGCCAGGAAAAGGAATGATTGAATTTCACGATGTCTCCTTGAGTTACTCACTGCAGTTGCCAAGGGTGCTCAAGAACATTTCTCTTGTCATAAAACCAAAAGAAAAGGTAAATAATATTGAAAAGACAAAAACATTGATGTTCATTTTTAGTACAGATCAATCTAGTTGTATGTTTTTCAACTTTTTTAAAACAAGGCTTTATTTCAGGATTGTTTTTATTCATTACTTCAGACTAGGGTTAGAGGTTACAGCATTATCACTTAGGTACAATCCATTTTGTGATTTTGGCAAGATTTGACCCCGGGGACCTTCCTGGACCTCGGGGACCGAGGTCCCTCGATCGGCAACTATACCAGCTCACTCCCCAGGTTAAATGTATCAACTGGAGTTTACACCAAATTACCCAAAATTTTTCTGTACCTAAATTTCTTATCTTTGGTTCATATTTGGTTGATGTATAACAAATGGTACATTTTACCAAATACACCACAAATGTCTTCAATAAAATAAGAGACAATGGGTGATCAGTAAAATCTACAGCTATGAAGCAATCAATAATTGAGTGTGCTGGAGTAGCCTAATGTTAATGAATTTATTTCAAATTTGACCATAGCACTAAAAATGAATCACCTCTACAGAATTCACTATATTACAGTATTAAAATGCTCAGATTAGGAAAGGAAAGTTACTCACTTTTTCTTAATGTTTTCAGATTGGTATTGTAGGACGGACTGGAGCAGGCAAGTCATCCCTCATCTCAGCATTGTTTCGTCTTCACGACATCGAGGGCAAGATCCTGATAGATGGAGTAGACACACAGACTATCAGTCTTCAAACTTTGCGTTCTAGCATTTCCATCATTCCGCAAGAGCCAGTGTTGTTCTCTGGTGGTTTGCGATCCAACTTAGATCCATTCAACCAATTCAGTGATGAACAGCTCTGGAATGCACTTAGTGAGGTAAAGTCATTTTAATATTAAATATTAGTAAGATTAGTGCTTGATTTCTATAATTTGAGTTATGGTACCAGAACCTATGCTTAGAAATCATATCTCTACCTTCCATAAGCTGTCATGATTATCTTCCTGCATAAACAATTCATAAGATCAGCATTTGTTTAAAATTACATTATCAGACTTCAAACACTGCTGAGTTCTACATTGGATAAAATTCTGTTTAAAATTATAATCTATATTGGCTAAAACAAATTTTGACTAGAATAAGGTCAACACAATTAGAAATTCAGAGGCAACTACTGAATCCTGATTAAACAATTGCAAGGTAGAGCTGAAAAATACGGTAAAGGACCTAGAAGGAGGGCTTGACTGGCAACTGGCAGAGGGAGGAAGCAACTTCAGTGTGGGTCAGAGGCAACTACTGTACCCTGATACATAAATGTTTTGCAGGTAGAGCTGAAAGATACAGTAAATGACCTAGAGGGAGGGCTGGACTGGCAACTGGCAGAGGGAGGAAGCAACTTCAGTGTGGGTCAGAGGCAACTACTGTACCCTGATACATAAATGTTTTGCAGGTAGAGCTGAAAGATACAGTAAAGGACCTAGAAGGAGGGCTGGACTGGCAACTGGCAGAGGGAGGAAGCAACTTAAGTGTGGGTCAGAGGCAACTACTGTACCCTGATACATAAATGTTTCGCATGTAGAGCTGAAAGATACAGTAAAGGACCTAGAAGGAGGGCTGGACTGGCAACTGGCAGAGGGAGGAAGCAGCTTCAGTGTGGGTCAGAGACAACTACTGTACCCTGATACATAAATGTTTTGCAGGTAGAGCTGAAAGATACAGTAAAGGACCTAGAAGGAGGGCTGGACTGGCAACTGGCAGAGGGAGGAAGTAACTTAAGTGTGGGTCAGAGGCAACTACTGTACCCTGATACATAAATGTTTTGCAGGTAGAGCTGAAAGATACAGTAAAGGACCTAGAAGGAGGGCTGGACTGGCAACTGGCAGAGGGAGGAAGCAACTTAAGTGTGGGTCAGAGGCAACTACTGTACCCTGATACATAAATGTTTTGCAGGTTGAGATGAAAGATACAGTAAAGGACCTAGAAGGAGGGCTGGACTGGCAACTGGCAGAGGGAGGAAGCAACTTCAGTGTGGGTCAGAGGCAACTACTGTACCCTGATACATAAATGTTTTGCAGGTAGAGCTGAAAGATACAGTAAAGGAACTAGAAGGAGGGCTGGACTGGCAACTGGCAGAGGGAGGAAGCAACTTCAGTGTGGGTCAGAGGCAACTACTGTACCCTGATACATAAATGTTTTGCAGGTAGAGCTGAAAGATACAGTAAAGGACCTAGAAGGAGGGCTGGACTGGCAACTGGCAGAGGGAGGAAGCAACTTCAGTGTGGGTCAGAGGCAACTACTGTATCCTGATACATAAATATTTTGCAGGTTGAGATGAAAGATACAGTAAAGGACCTAGAAGGAGGGGCTGGACTGGCAACTGGCAGAGGGAGGAAGCAGCTTCAATGTGGGTCAGAGGCAACTACTGTACCCTGATACATAAATATTTTGCAGGTTGAGATGAAAGATACAGTAAAGGACCTAGAAGGAGGGCTGGACTGGCAACTGGCAGAGGGAGGAAGCAGCTTCAATGTGGGTCAGAGGCCACTACCGTACCCTGATACATAAATATTTTGCAGGTTGAGATGAAAGATACAGTAAAGGACCTAGAAGGAGGGCTGGACTGGCAACTGGCAGAGGGAGGAAGCAGCTTCAGTGTGGGTCAGAGGCAACTACTGTACCCTGATACATAAATGGTTTGCAGGTAGAGCTGAAAGATACAGTAAAGGACCTAGAAGGAGGGATGGACTGGCAACTGGCAGAGGGAGGAAGCAACTTCAGTGTGGGTCAGAGGCAACTACTGTACCCTGATACATAAATGTTTTGCAGGTAGAGCTGAAAGATACAGTAAAGGACCTAGAAGGAGGGCTGGACTGGCAACTGGCAGAGGGAGGAAGCAACTTCAGTGTGGGTCAGAGGCAACTACTGTACCCTGATACATAAATGTTTTGCAGGTAGAGCTGAAAGATACAGTAAAGGACCTAGAAGGAGGGCTGGACTGGCAACTGGCAGAGGGAGGAAGCAACTTCAGTGTGGGTCAGAGGCAACTACTGTACCCTGATACATAAATGTTTTGCAGGTAGAGCTGAAAGATACAGTAAAGGACCTAGAAGGAGGGCTGGACTGGCAACTGGCAGAGGGAGGAAGCAACTTCAGTGTGGGTCAGAGTCAACTACTGTACCCTGATACATAAATGTTTTGCTGGTAGAGCTGAAAGATACAGTAAAGGACCTAGAAGGAGGGCTGGACTGGCAACTGGCAGAGGGAGGAAGCAACTTCAGTGTGGGTCAGAGGCAACTACTGTACCCTGATACATAAATGTTTTGCAGGTAGAGCTGAAAGATACAGTAAAGGATTTGGAGGGAGGGCTGGACTGGCAACTGGCAGAGGGAGGAAGCAACTTCAGTGTGGGTCAGAGGCAACTACTGTACCCTGATACATAAATGGTTTGCAGGTAGAGCTGAAAGATACAGTAAATGACCTGGAGGGAGGGCTGGAATGGCAACTGGTAAAAGGAAAAAGCAACTTCAGTGTGTGTCAGAGGCAACTACTGTACCCTGATACATAAATGTTTTGCAGGGAGAGCTGAAAGATACAGTAAATGACCTGGAGGGAGGGCTGGAATGGCAACTGGTAAAAGGAAAAAGCAACTTCAGTGTGGGTCAGAGGCAACTACTGTACCCTGATACATAAATGGTTTGCAGGTAGAGCTGAAAGATACAGTAAATGACCTAGAGGGAGGGCTGGACTGGCAACTGGCAGAGGGAGGAAGCAGCTTCAATGTGGGTCAGAGACAACTACTGTACCCTGATACATAAATGTTTTGCAGTTAGAGCTGAAAGATACAGTAAAGGATTTGGAGGGAGGGCTGGAATGGCAACTGGCAGAGGGAGGAAGCAACTTCAGTGTGGGTCAGAGGCAACTACTGTACCTTGATACATAAATGGTTTGCAGGTAGAGCTGAAAGATACAGTAAAGGACTTGGAGGGAGGGCTGGACTGGCAACTGGCAGAAGGAGGAAGCAACTTCAGTGTGGGTCAGAGACAACTTTTGTGTCTAGCAAGAGCAGTATTGCGCAACAATCACATCTTAATATTGGACGAGGCAACTGCAAACGTTGACCCTCAGTGAGTAGCAAATAAACCTGCTGATTATACTTTAGTATCATCTTTGACTATGGTATTACATAGTTTTATAACATTTTGGGCACATATTGCACTATATTTGAACAATGTTTGTTCAAAAATCATTATTGAATCTTAGTTTGTGTGGATTGGAATAAATTTTGTATGTAATTTCCCTTTGGACCATTTTCCCCATCTTATCAAATCAAACTTTTACTAAGTGAGATTTTAGTTTGCGTGCAGTTGTTGAATGTTTGCAGCCACTTATCTCTCCCCACTCCCTGCCATAATCCATGTTGGCTGGAAAGCATCATTATATAATACCTCAATGGAAATGACATCTAGGTTCGATGTCAATCCATGAAATGATCAAAGCATCAAATCATTAATTCATTTGGAGAGCACTATAGCCACTTTCAAAATCAATCAGCTCTTTAGACATATATGGTCAATTAAAAAAAAAAAACTCACAAAAAACATGTTTAACAGGACAGATGCGTTGATCCAGAGCACAATAAGGCGCAAGTTTGCCGACTGCACTGTCCTCACCATTGCTCATCGTCTTCACACTGTGATGGATTCCCATAGACTCATGGTGCTTGACTCGGGGGTCCTCGTGGTAAGATGCACACCATTATCTTATTACATGGTGGATAAAACTCTGGATAAAAAATTGCAATATAAAATGGTTTATGTTTTTGTGTCAATTGATACGTGATGTAGTTAGAAACAACTACTAACAGCTGTTTCATGCTGCTGGGGCACATCTTCAGGTTGTAGAACCTAAAAAATAAATATGATTTCATCCGTGTATGAGTTTGTATATATACTATCTGTTTGTCTATGAAACACAAAATAAACAAATACAACATTGAAATAACGATCTACTACTTGAAGATGTGCCCCAGCAGCATGAAAAACTTTGTCCTCCCCCATTGTAAATAAGGCAAAGCTTGAGTATAACTGCAATAAGCATTTTATACTTATATGCCAACCCCGTACGAAGGACGTGTACTCTGTTAGTTTACTCATAAAACTGTTTTATCAGTTGACTACTGGTTTTAGTTCACTACAGTTGAAAGGTTTTACTAGTGCTTCATAAATAAATTATTAAGAAATTTAGTTCTGTTGTTTTATTTGCAATACTCACATTAGTTTCATTGCCAGGAGTTTGACCACCCATGGAAGTTGCTCCACAACCAAGATGGCTTCTTGTACAGGTTGGTGAGGGAGTCTGGCCGAGGAGCTGCTCAAATGCTACATTCTATCGCATCTCAGGTGAGTTTTTGGAAACTTGTTCTAAATATGGTAATATATTTATACAATCTAGACCATTAATAATTGTTAACTAAATAGTGGAATGTTGGAGTCTTAACTGACTTTGTAATTAATCAAAATTACTATGAGGAGTTGACAGAGATACAATATTACTATAACTTATCTTTATTTTTCTTTGGTGAAAGGACATTAATGTATGTCACCATAGAATACTGGTTTGCCCATTGGCCAAACTAACAGGGATTAGGAGGGATTCTCCCACAAAAATCGTTAACCTCTTCTGGGGTCACGGGACATAATCATCCACATCGAGGCAATAAAGTATTCATTTTAGAAAATAAATATTCTAAAAATTGGCCTAGCGGTAAATCCAGTGCTGAATGTTAATATTACATAGTACGAGCAGTGATAAAAAGAATTAAATATAGACTGTCAGCCGTGCTACGGTTACCATAGGTTCGTGCGCACAACGCTGGGAGCGCCGTGTAGTTACGTAGTTCGTACGCCGTAGCTACATGGCGCTCCCAGTGGTGTGTGCCAGAACCTATGGTAACAGCAGCACGGCTGACGGTCTATATTTAATTGTTTTTGTCTATAGTACGTCATATGGACAAGCCAGAGGTAACTATTATTATTGATATACCTGGTTTATCCGTCTGAGACAATACCACAGAGCTACCAAGTTTGGTGTATGAAACTATGAATCCAATTGAACAACATCCAATTAATGAACAAATCCATTGCCTCAGTGAGAAGTATTATAGTGCAACTTAACTGAAAGCTATGTGCAGCTCCAAAGTTAAATTTTAAACCGCTATGCTTAAGGCTTTTATGTTCATTTGTGCTGTAGAATATTAATTACTTCTTCACAGTTGTAGTAATCTCAGAATACCTGTATTGGTTGTATTCTTGTTTCAGAACTACCAGCAATTGAAAAAAGACCAAAACTTAGAAGTTTCTGAAGTTGATCCTAACAGAGGAGCAAATTAACTTTGTTATGACAGTTATAGCTCAACTTCCAAGACTAAGGATCTCAAAGGAGGACCTAGATAATAATGTTAAAGGGATGCATTTATTAATACACTCAAGAAGTATCTACCTTCTATTGGGTCGTTATCGGCACAAACTGGACATTTTTCATTCTTGCAGTTGGCAAGTTAATTCAGTTCTTACTGTAAGTAAAATGTTCTCAACAATTTATTGAAACTAACCGTCGATAATTACCAAGATAAAAAGAATAATGCTTGTTTGTACATTTTATTGATAGTAGTTTGTGACTTCACACAGTTAATGTGTATTATTTTTGTATTAAAAATTAAATGTACAAAACATGGTTAAATATTAGTTCTTTACAACACCCTTTAACTGGCTCCCAAATATGTATCGGTACGGATCTAAAATTATAATTCATTGAGCCTCATGATTAACGTTCAGAAACCTGTGTTTACAATAATTAAGTTCCTTACTTTGTGAAACATTGCATTATCTATGTGGTCATTAATATTTCAGTTAGTCCTTGAAAATATCCGACATAAGAATTGTCTGTATATTAAGGTCTACAACGAGTTCATGTCCCAGCCAATCAACACTGTGGGACGATTAGTCTCACCATAGTAGCCAATAATGTTAGAGATAACACTAACAATGCTCCTTGCAACATATGAATCTGAATCACGTTTTCTTATTAGGTTTCCGTGGGAAGGTTGTCAAATTTTACTGAAAAGCACCGCCAGTTGGTGGATGAGTATGAAAAAAGTATTTAAGCAAAAATATGCATAAAAGAGGGTGTTTGTAGAAGGCCATACCCATTTGAACAATGAAGCTGGCAACAGGTGTTTATCAGTTTCCATTGAGATTAATGTTGAGAAAACATCAGTTTCGTATTGGCGGGCTTATCACAACCAGGGTTAACCGGGGTCTTTGGCAGTCTTAGATCAGTTTGACAATCTCTCAGTTAGTCACATGTCCATAATCAAGCCGAATTTCCTTAATTTAGTTCACATCCTCAAATACAACCAGTGATAAACCCAGCTGGCACTGTGGAAAGCATAGTTAGTTATTAGCATTGAATAGTTATTGGATACTACGAGATTAATCTTCCCTAAGTTGAGGGAACCGGCTAGAATTTGATGGAGGAATATAAAGTACACAGCGCTGGTAATTTGAACTCGCTTGCTTTGCTGCAACTGTAACTCGTAGGAAACCTTAATTTACAGAAATCATTATAATACAGGATGATTACAAATGCAATAGACAAAATGTGTATTAAATTATATACAAACTGTCAATATCATTTGTAATCACCCTGATGGATAGCCTATAGCCTATTTAAAATTTTGTTTCTGTTTGTGTCGGTTGCTCTGCTAAGTGCTTAGACAAATTAATTGTGCACAGGTTAATGCAGATAATTTTAAATTAAGATAATATAAATATTTAACGTAAAAATAAAGCACAATTGATTCAAGAACATATTTATTCTAATTACAAGGGGAAGAGAATAACTTATAAATAATTGCAAAATATGCAATTAACTAAAGTTGTAAATTAAATAAAATTAAAAGCTTTACTCAACTTCTTCCAAAAAGAACTTTTTCAATTTTGTGATTGCTCTATCATATCCGAGTCCTTTTCTTACTATCCTATACCTGCCGGGTTCAGTAAGATCCACTATAGTAGAGCCTTCTCTAGCTGTATTCCATCCGTGATCTACCATGTTAATGCTTGTGTCAAAAACTCCACCCAGTTTAGGCCATAGTGATTTAAATTCTTCAACATGAATACAATTTGGCTCGTTACTTAGGTTAGCACTGGTTAAAGCAAGAGGTTGGCCAAGCGCTGACGTAACAAAATCAATGAACGGGTGCCAAATGGTCCCTGGAACACGGATACCGACGTTTGTTATTCCGGGGTTCAAGTCCGGATTGAGCCTCGGTTTTCGTTCCAAAATCACTGTTACTGGTCCGGGCAAAAGCGATTTCAACAATCCTTTAGGGAGGTAAGTAGTCTTGCTGTACTTCTTAACTTCACTCACAGCACACACACAAATTGCCAAAGGTTTACTTTTGTCTCGACCTTTGATCTCGTAGAGCTTATTAATGGCTGCGGTATTTGATGAATCACACGCGAGACCAAACACAGTGTCTGTCGGTACAGCTATAACTTCCCCTTGCTCTAGAAGCCGACGAGCCGTATTAATAGCTTTATTGTCCAACCCACAAAGTTGTATCACTTTTGGGTCAGGAGGATCATCTGCCAACCAAGAATCTTCTGGGTTTAAGGAGGACATTACAGCTGATTTATGAATAGAAGGTGAAACTTTTTCAAGCAATTTGCGAGAAATAAATCTTTGCAGCATGACTAGCCTAATCTCTCCACCGATGACCACAGGTGGTACTGCAGCACTTGTAGAAGGTAGTCATTGGTTCATCAGCTGACCGAGTTTGCAACTGCAGGAAGTATGCTCGAGGATGCCAACACACTGGACAACGCTCATCAGTAGAGTCTACGTTCTCCCAAGCCGCTGCACCACCCAGCACGTCGTCGATTTCCTGCAAAATAATTTTGATAAGTGGGCCAGAATTCTACTATTTTGCAAATATTTAACTTAGGTCTCTACTGCCAAAAACAAGAAGTTGAAAAATAGGGCTTATTTAACTAGCCTACAGTAAATACACGTTATCGGTGCAAACAGGCTGTCGAGAAAACTTGCTTTTAAATTTAGAATATGAGTATTTTTTTTAGGAAAACACACTTGGCTTAGAAATACATAAAGTTATTTTCCAACTGTAAATATAACCTTGTAGCTGGTCCAACAATGCTTTATTACTAAATATATCTTGTAAATAAAAGATTGGAATGGACAACAAATTAATTGCAGTAAGTTGACAATGCATAAATGCAAATTAATTTGTAAGTTAGGTGGTATCAAATCCGCCATCTACATTTATTACAACACTCCAAAAACACAAAAAAAAAAAATTATTTGCCTTTGGTCATTGATACTTTAAATTACAAATTCATCCTACTTAAAATCATACAGTACTTATTTTTAGCCAATTCGATATCTGGGTCAGAAAAACTGTATATAATAAGACTAACTTACAATTTTACATAATAATTGGGCTAGTTTCAGTAAAAATAGGAAATGCACTTAGTGTCCAATAATTGTTGCTTCTTTATTACCTATTGAACCAAACCATGCCAAATAATTTACTTTTCATTTTTCCATTCTCAGATTTAAATTATATTAAAACTAACTTGGACATATATTCTACAACACTGAAACAAACAACAAACGTTTAAATTAAGTTAACTGATGAAAAAGAAGTCATTATGCTTATCAGAGACAATTACTATTATCTTAACTCATTTTTTATCAGATGTTGCATAGGCCTATGCTTCCTGTATAAAAAGTGTTTTGAAAGAAAACTGACATTGTTTTGCAACTGAAAGCAAGTTGTCTTTTTAAGACTTATTGAATGGAGACAAATTTCCCTCGAGGAAAGAAGCTAACATGGGTAGCAGGGAAAGACCTAAACACGGAATTAATTTTTTTTATCTCCCCAGAGGTTGAAACACTATTCGTTCAAATTTTAACATACAACATGTGTTTGTGTGTATTCCGTGGACACAATAATGCCGCGTTTACACCAAAGTTTTCAATGAAAAGTATTAAAAGTATGAAACAAAATGTTTGGAGCTTTTTGTTGGTAACACTTGTTTCTAAAACAAATGTTTACATCAGATAGTGCACTTTCCTTTGATTTTTTCAAACAATTTAATAATCATTCCCCGAGACGTGGTGGTAGGTAGGCTCAGGGGGTAGCGAGTACCATAAGTGTTTTAAATATGAAACGTAGAAGTGACACAGAAACATTTCTTCTAAAACAAATGTTTGCTCATGTTTAAACATACTTTGATCTTTACCGACTTCTGGTGGGAAATTAAATTTCTGTTCAAAAAGTAGTTTCTTGGGTTTTTAGGAACATACTTTTAGTTAACATATTTTTAGTTGGTAAACAAGTGTTCCTGACTATGGTATAAACACTTTTCAAACTTAAAAGGGCTTAACTTAAAACTCAAGCAAGTTTAATCTAGTTTTGTTTAAATTTTGCAAGCATGTGTAGAAATGGATAAACTTGATTGGGTTCACAAACCAGTTTGCAATAGGGTAATTCAAACAAGGTGAATGTTCAAAAGTTGGGTTTTTGCAAATATTTCCAGGTAGGCCTACCCTTAAACAAGAAAATTCCCAATTTATATTGCAGATATCGTCTAGAGCTTAAAAAATAAACAATTCAAATCAAATTAGTTTTCAGAATTTGTTAGGAAACCATACACTTAACAAATATCCTGCCTGGCTGAGCATTTTCCTACAACGGCGCTGAAGGGCCACCAACTGAATAAAAAAATATTTTTCTTCATCTCTGAGAAAAAACTTAAGTTAGAATTCTAAGATTTAAGTCAGAGCATGGGAAGTAGGCTTCCTCTCTGATAAAAAAGTCAGAATTCTGAGTTTAACACGTTCGCTGCTGACCGCTAGATGCCGGGACGGCGCCAGGAGCTGAATTAACGCTCGCCGCTGCGTAAACATTGCTATAGGCCTACTATAATTTATTACTATACACTGAATTACAGAAAAAACAACAGTAGTTATACTGGATGGCAATGTTCTACAATAAAACTGGCTTTGGACATAGTACTAAGTGATTCTGATAGATAGCAGCACTACCCAGGTTGCAGTCGGTAAAGTAGTGTCCCTATCTAGCAGGAAAGAGGTGGGACAAAGCCCTGTTCTAAACAAACCTGGTGGTGATTTTGGGAAACTATATTTTTTATTGTCAGAAAAGTTCGTCCCCACGAGCTGCAAAGAAATATAGGACGCTCGTGACGAGCTGGCTGATCAATGGTAACGTTAAACAACAATGAACGGCGACGTTCCGGAACGTTTCTAGCTCCTGGCGCCGTGGCCCGTTTGACGTTCAGGAACGTCCGTAGCAGCGAACGTGTTAAAGTCAGAATTATTACTAGAACTAGTGGGTGTTCCCCTCTGAGATTTAAGTCAGATTTTAACTCTTTGCTCTCTCTCTCTACCCGCCCCTTTAGCACTAGGCTAGTCTCTTAAGTTTGAGTTGAGTAGTTGAGTATTGACTGAGTGAGTGAGTAGAGTAAGTTAGTCTCTTCAAACTCAGTCTATAGGCTACAACCATGGACACATATGGATTTAACTTATCAAACACATCTAAAAGCCAAATATAGTTTGGACCTTTGTTCTTGTATATTTGTCGATGTAAACGTTTGTGGGTCCTGAAGTCGCAAGTCCTACAGGGTCAAGTTCTTTAAGAATCGAACTAACTGTGTTTTGTTTTACTTAAAGCCATTTTGCATACATTTCAAATGCATCCATCTGTATCCATGTAACTGGCCTGAGTAGTTTAACTCATTTCTAATTAAATGTTTCACCTTTTCAATTGAAGAATAATTAATCCTACACAACCCTAACCTTTTTAAAATATGTTTTAACTTTCTATAATACTTAACACAGTGTTATATTTACAAGCAAGTAAAGATACTATTTCTGCCTGAGCCAAGCCTAATCTGAAATAATCACCAATAATGGCTACTCTTTCATTAGTGTCAATTTCGGTGCTCAATTCGCGTCGTTAGGCAGTAGAAGAACGTTCAATTCGAGGAACGCCCACTAGTTAAATTCTTACTTTAATCTCAGTATTCTAACTTTTTTCACAGAGAGGAACACCCACTAGTTAAATTCTGACTTTTTTCTCAGGGAGGAAGCCTACTCCCCGCGCTCTGACTTAGAATTATAAGTTTTTTCTCAGGGATGAAGACAAATATTTTTTTTATAGTTGGTGGTCCTTCAGCGACGTCGTATTTTCCTGTGTAGGTCTACTAACTTAAATAGGAGTAGGAATGAGCATCGATAGTCAATGTTTTCTAACGATGTTAGATTTTATTTACATCGATGGTAGGTTAACTTAGCAATCATTTTGTTACATCGATGATTTTTTTGATCAAACAGGAATTGAGATAGCCTATCAATATTTTCCATTACTAGAGGGTACAAAACGCAGACGAAAAAACTAAAAAACTTCGATGTTTTAGTCCCAATAACATCAATGTTTTTCCAAGGATGTTATGGTAACATCAATGGTTGACGTCAATGTTACCATCGAAGGTGACCATGGATGGTTGACCTAGCGATGCTCATCCTAAATAGGAGTAAGCCTAGCCTATAAAGATAGATTGCATACCTTTAACTTGGGATAGGTGCGGTGGCTTATGCGTTGAGTAATGTTGAAACTATAAGGACAAGTTCTACATTTAAATCTTAAATGACCCAGATGTTCTTCAACTGCTAATACATTGGCACAAGTTGGGCAGAAAATTGATGACATTATTTAAATCCCATGTAGGCTATAAGGCTCGTTACATCATTGGTTGAAATTTGTAAGGATTTATAGCAGAAGGGTGATACAAAAAATGAAAACTGGCACTCAATTGAAAGGTTTGTTATGGCTGATGCAATAACACTCGACTCACGTCACGTCTGTTACATAGGCCTTTATAACCTAACCTAACCAAGAATGTGATCTGATTCTGAATCATACACTTGCACCTGCACTACCTGACTACTTTGACTTGAGTACTTCAGTAATCAGTACTTTTGACTTGGGCACATGGCAGACGACGAGACGAGTACAGTACAGTAGACGAAAACACCACTAGTACCAACCTACTATAATCAAAACAACAAAAAATGGAAAAGCGATCACATAGCTTTGATTATATAAATTATATAAAATTTTAGTTTAGTCTTAGTAGCCTATATTGACTCGTTCAAAAATACCTTTTGTTCAAACATGTATCATGTTCACGTAAATAAACCATTTCATAACATTTATAATTACTTTAGGCCTAGTGTACTTCTAGACCTAAACTTCTAAAAGCTGTTGATGGACTGATGGTATGAGATTAGACATCAAAGAATTTGGAGCTATGGTATGTTTTAACATAATAACATTGACTATCGATTATATCTTTCTTTTTACTTCGTGTACATGAAGAAGTGGCAAGCCTGATATCGATGACAACTAGCAAAATTATTTCTTATTCTTATTCTTATTCTTGTTTTGTTTTTGTTATTGTAAACAGCAGTGTTGCCAAAAAGCGGGTAATTACCCGAAAAGCGGGTAATTTAGTTACCTGGGGGTAATGCTGCGGGTAATGGCAAATAGGCGGGTAAAAAGCGGGTAAATGACAACTGATCAAATATTATTTGTTTTTCGTATTATTACTTTTATATTTCACTAAAAGAAAAATATTTCCTTGTATTTGTCTCCCATTAAAGTAATTTCATAGACTTTTTATTGTTTTACACTACTTCTCTTAACCTTAATCAGTTTGGTTCAGTTCTCACCATTGGGATATAGATCACTCAGTGACTCAGTCACTCTAGTAGGCTACAGCGTTCAGTCGGTTCGTTCGGTTCAGTTTCAGTTTCAGTCAGTACGGTTGTTTGTAGTCTTTTCTTTTGGATTGGAGTGGAAAAACTTTTGGTGGTAGCCTGGCCTTAATTTAATGCCTGAAACCATGGTGGAAGGAACCGTACTAGTGTAGTCTCTAGTATACTTCTAAAGAGGATGAAAAATATAAAACAGGGGAATAATAATATTTATTGGTTATAATAACTACCTATATTTTCTCCCTATTAATAATAAAAAATTAAATTTTTAACAGTACTTACTCATTACTAAATAATTATATCACATAGGCTATCATAAAAAAAACCAAATCATTGTAGGCCTAAGTAACTTATGTAATTATTTTTTTAAGGTCATAAGATTGAAAATTTCATTATGAAGGTTAATTACAAGTCTCAAGTCCCATATTTAGTTCTTTACATCTTAATTTGTGGGATTACTCAAAACTAATTTATCAGGGTTTGTATTCGTTACTTTTAGAGACAGGCAAGAGTGTCGAAAGGGAATTTTTGGTTTGTTGAGGGTAATTTTGAGAAAAAGCGGGTAATTCTTTGCTCTGGAGGGGGTAATTGGGCCATATTGGATTGGCAACACTGGTAAACAGTAGCTTAAACAACCTAGCAATCATTAAAATAAAGAATAAGTTAATATTTAATTTTATAACTATTAGTTTAAACCACGAATACTTGAACTGAATAAACCTTAGAAACATCTTCATATTACAAATTTATTTACTCTTAGTTTAGTTGTTAACATTTTATCTACAGAAATTACAATGGCTGATGATGACTTCTGGAATGAAAGTCAAGTAAAAAAGTCAGCTAAGAAATTTAGCTTTGATGACAGAGAAGTGAGTAAAAGGCAGGCTAATATTAGTTTCTAATTTTGGCAATAACTTAAACTTTTCTAGAATTTAGGTAGGTCCATGGCTGCACTTTACCTTAGGTCCTACACTCATTCATCGATTAATCGATTGTTTTATTCGCTATATCGTTTGGTTAGTTAGGTAAGGTAACTAACCAAACATATATTGAACGAAACAATCGAATAATAGATATTTTCATTCTATTGAGTGTAGGACCTAAAGTAAAGTGCAGCCCATTTATTATATGGATCTGGCTCCAATCGATCGATATATTGATTATTCGATATATCGTTTGGTTAGTCGGGTAAGGTTGACCTAACCAAACGATATATCGAATTAAACAATTGAGTAATCAATATTACTCATTCGGTTGTTTGTGCCAACAGATATGGAAGTGTACCCCTTATAATCATCAGGCCTACAGATGGGGTATGGATAGAGGTAGGGAGCGGATTTGGATGAAGGAAAAGCGATGGTGAGAATGGGGTAAAGTTACTTTTGTATTACACGGAGGCCACCTTTTGGCCTATACTGCGTGCTGTGGCGGTTAAGTAGGCTAGGTTGGGTTATCATACATTTTTATGACTCATCTAGTATCGTTCGATTCATAACAAAACGAGGAAAGTCCTACACAGATATTTATGATATAACCCAACCTAACCTAACCGCTGCAGCGTGCTGTAAAATAAGTTAGTATAGCCTCCGTATAATACAAAAGTACCGGGAATGGTATCATTTTGCTATAAGTTAACTAACACATAGCCCATCCAATGTAAAAATTTGAACACAAAAAACGTGGTGCAATCTGTTGAGGTGGTCTCTATACCAACTTGGCTTAAACTTATGGCAATATTCTGTCTCGAGTGATAAATCACTCGAGGCATTTTAATCAGCTTTTGGTGTGGATTTTAACCAACATTTAACCCATTAAGCCACACTAAACTTACCCTCTGGTGTCTGGTGAGTTGGTCCTGAACTTCATCTATATTTTCTTGGCTTCAAATTTTTACATTGGATGGGAAGTCTAATCTGTGTATAGTCAATGATGGTATAGAATGTGTAAAGCAGGTCTATCTAGACATGTCTATGTTATCTCAACTGAACCCTAAAATGCTACCGACGGTCAGCAAAGATCTTTAAACTGCTTCTGGAAAGTGTGCAACATTTGGAGCTGAAGTCCTTAAAAAGACCTTCTATAAAGCTCTAGTAACAAGGCCATAGGTACTAGCCAAGCCTGAAGAGTCACTTTTTCCACCTTGTCAATGCCAACCGAATTTTCCCAAAAGCCATGCAAAAAATTTGCTAGTTTTAAGTGAAGTAGGCCTAGACCCCCTAGCCTTAACCTCTATAAGTTATTTTGCATTCCTATAACACAATCTAGGTATCTACAGTAGATAATGTTCACTATATTTGGGTTAAATACGCACATAGTGGCGTCCCCATCTTAAATAAGTGATAATTGAACATCAAGTTGGAATCACTGTCCTGGAAGTACAAGCTGAAATCCCCCATCACCATTGGCTTTTAGGTTTTAATCTAAACTTAGTTTATCTTCATGGTTTAGGGTCTAACTTTAGCTCCAAGTCTAAGTTATTTAACCTATGTGGAAGACTATAACACAGGTTGGAAGAAGTGGAACTGAAAAGTAAGCTACATCGTTAAATTTTATAAGCCTACTTGAATAAACTTTAAGTAGGCCTATGTAAAGGGTTAATATTAATGAAGTAATAGGCTAAACAGTGCAGAGGAATAGCCTTTCAATTAAATTGAGTTGATTTAACATCTTTCTAACTACTGGTAAAAATAGACTATGTAGTTTTTAAAAACTAGGCTACCGTCATCACCATTATCACAAATCTTTGAATGATGAAATCTTCCTTTAGCTGCGCTCTCTTTTTAACTCAATCTGGCATGCCTAGGTAGGCCTACCCATTGTATGCAATGTTTGCACGTGTTTTCAGACCACATGGGGAAGTGGTGGAGAATCTACCAGTTTGCAGATGTGTGGAATATCACTTGATGGGACGGCTCAATTATTTCAGCAAGTTCAAGCAGGCCTTAAACAGGGAGAATCGGAGAGCTCCTCAGTGTCTGGTATTAAATCCTCTTTATACATTTATGTAATAAATTAGGAAAACAGCGTTGCCATTAACTTATCACAAGTTATGACACGCTTCAAGCCGGTCCGTCTAAAAGTAAAATGTTTATAAATACCTTAAAACAAATACACTCTTTTTCATTATTTATTAAGAGAGTAGTTTTAGTACAAGAGGTGACTCTGTACTGTAACATCCTTTTTCCGCACGTTCTACTTGACTGATTTATAGGCTACAGCCCATGTTTATTGATAGGCCTAATTTAAAACTCTAGGTTTTTATAATTTGATGTGTTCTGATTAAATTCACAAACGTGAAAATATATGTTTAATTCCGCGTTTAATCCATCAAGATCAAGCTGATGTCGCGAAACGGAGTTTTACCCCCTCGTTTGTGACATCACGTTTGCCCAGGGTGATAAAAATCCGCCACCCCATTGCGTTTGCTGATTCGGTTGCAAGAGCGCCAGGGCTTTGCCCGGGCCTTGCCACCATTGGCGAGCGCCTGTTTCATGTATGCCGCAGTGAAGGTATTAATATCTCCTGTGGTAAAAAAACATTGTTGTCTTCTCCCGCAATCTTTGCAAAATATTAATTATGAAATATAAATTACTCTTCTAAAAATTTTGTGAATGTTGTAATCCCATCCATACCAATGAATAAAAATCCTTTAAGAAGCGAAATGGTTATGGAGAATAGTCAGACTACTCTATCTCTCACTCTCTCTAAGCCAATTCTTTGTCTCTCTCTCTTATTTAGTCAGCTGACTTGGCGGTGCTCGTGACAGTCTACCTAGCGGCCGCTGCGGGAACTATTGACAATTCTTATATTGCCAGACTGAATTTTTTACAAAGGCATTGCGCTTCCTAATGGGTTTGTATTCATTGTCTATACGCTGTCAAACAGTTGTTTTCACTTTCCAGGAACTAACTATAGCTTCTTGCTGCTTTTATTTATCGCCTTTAACCCATCCAACGTGCTTAAAGAAATGTTTTGAATTTTTTAGATTCAAAACGTTCCAACCAGCTTGAACTTCATCAGCTGATTTCAGAAAAATCCTTAAATATATGTAAGTATGATTTAGTTATATGCACAGAAGATGCACACTACAATCGCTATTGCAAATTAATTGACCTTCGTACAATTCAACATCTAAATATATAAAAGGCAAAGCCCTCACTGACTGACTCACTCACTCATCACTAATTCTCCCACTTCCCATTTACCCAGGAGGCTGAAATTCGGTACACCGATTCTTTGGGCATTAAATAGGAAAACTAAGTAGTTTTTTATTCTGATCGGGCTTTCGGGCTTTGCCCCAGTGGCTCTGGAGTTTCCTATGTTAACCTTATGATTTTTCATATTTAAAAGGAATTTCTTAACAGCGGTTTCAATTATACAAGTTGGTTCTGTTCTATGATGTTCAATAGCATTTAAGTTACAAGGATTACCAACAGGGTGCAGCTCTATTATTTTGTAAATTTATGACTACGGCCAATTTGCAACCAAAAGGTGAGTGAGCGTAGCGAACGAACTTCAACCTGGAGGCTAGTTAGCGTAGCGAACGAGCTAACCTGAAGGCAAGTGAGCGGAGCGAACGAGCTCCAACCAGGACATGATTGAGCCATGCGAACAACCTCACTTGTGAAGTTAAACGGGGCAAAGCCCGCGGGTACAGCTAGTTACTTATGAAATAACTAAATCAACATTTACTTTTCACGCAAACAGCAAACTATATTTAAAAATAGTGGAATTGTAAAAAAATCTGTTTAAAATATTAAATTTAAATTTTTGAAGGTCAAAATTGTTTACTTTCTTAAAGCAGAAGTTTAATTGCTATCATACATTTAATGATACCAATCCATTAAACACACAAGTCACTTTTTGTACAATTTTCACAAACATGTTTTAGGATTCCAAACCTGGATTTGAAATAATAAATGTTTGCTTGAATGTTGTAAAAAATTTTTTAACAAAAACTCTGTCATTGCAGTGATGGAAGCAGATTCTCCGCAGTTTATTAACCTCAAGAGTGATCTTGATCCAGCAGAAGAGTTGAGAATACTTCGCCGCAGATATGAAGTTAGTATGATTAGAGTAGGCTACTACTAAAGTTTCCTAAAGCGTGGTATGTTGTTTCAAAATTAATTTCAATAATGTTAACAATATTTTTTTCAATTTAAAATAAAATCAGTTCTCATAATAACACTAAATTGTATGGATTTCATTTACTTCACTTGCGTTTTGACTGCATTCTCATTCAATACTAAAACCACTCAAACAAGTTTTTGGGGATGTCAATTTAACCGGAAAACCCGTTATCTGGACTGGCCTTGGTCCGAGGAGTCCGGATAAAAGGGAGTCTACTGTACCATTAAATGGCCTTATTTCTTTTGTCTGCAGGAAATGTGGGTGTCACCAGATGCCAAAAAAACCGTTAGGAAAATGATGCTTAAAGAACCATTTATACTCGAGCTCTTCCGTTCACTGAAGGATAAGAAGAAATTACTTCAAGAAGCTATTGATTTAGGCGATGGAGATACTATTCTGACTGTATGAAATTTTTTCATCCATTGTAAAATTAGTCAAGTTCTTACAGTAAAAGTAGCCTCTAATAAATCAAATCAAATCAAATCAAATCAAATCAAAAAATCCTTTATTCAAACAGTACATTTCTATACATGAATTGTGTCAAGTCAAGAATAAACATAACTATACATTTGACAAATTTACTACACTAATTAATTAAGAGCTATAATCTATATGTATACACTTTCTCCCCTACAACTACTTACTGTTCAACCATTACAACTAACTATTGATTTGACATACTAATATCTAATTGAAAAAGTCCCCAATCTTGTAGCAGCATTTATCTGACAACAATTTGAACAAACTGGTTTTAAATCTTTTAAAATCTGTCAAACCCTTTATGGTGCTAGGCAGGCTATTATACAATTTTATGCCAGAGTAATATGGAGAATGTTCAATGGTGGAGGTGTTATGTCTAGGGTATGTAAGGCTATTCTTTTGTCTTGTGTTATAGTTGTGAAAATCAGAGTTATTTGGAAAATTTGATCAATTTTGTCTTATATACAAAATTAAATTATATATGTATATACCAGGAAAAGTAAGAATTTTGTGATTTTTAAAAATACTCTTACAGGATTTTTTTCCTTTAAGTCCAAAAATAATACGGATAATTCTCTTCTGCATTTTAAAAACTTTTTTTCTCCTATCTGAATTTCCCCAGAAGATCACACCATAATTAAACAAGTGATAGACATAACCGTAATAAACCATCATGAGAGTGGATATGTCAACAGATTTAGATAAAATAATGAACATAAAATGAGCTTTATTTAAATTTTTTACAACTTCACCAATATGATTTTGCCAAGTCAATTTTTGATCCACTGTGATGCCTAAGAATTTAACTGAGCTTACTGAATTTAGAGAAAGATTCAAATCTAATTTTGTTAATGAGTCTGATTTCTGGTAGTTTTTTTGGAATTCCATCAGAAGAGATTTATCTTTATTTAACGCCAAACCATTTGCTTCAAACCATTTTTCTAGCTGAAGGAAATCTTGTTCAGCTGTTTGTTGCATGAAAATTTTACTATGATCAGTGAAAATAATGGAAATGTCATCAGCAAACATTACTGATTTTGACTTTAAAATCAAAGGTAGGTCATTAATATAAACCAAAAACAGTAGTGGACCTAGTATTGAGCCTTGTGGCACACCCTCTGTGACTAATTTGAAATCAGATTTCAGATTTATTAACCGTAGGTCCACACACTGTTTCCGCATTGATAAAAACGAGGTTGGAACGTTTGGGGTGCAATGACTTGAAATAAAAACACCATTTGGGGAATTAAATAAAACCCGGCCGACTACATGGTTACGGTTTGCTGGAATCTTGAGGACTGGTCAGCAAGGAAACTTTTGGAACGGCGGTTAAACGTGGAGGGAATAGTGGCGTGATGGGTTGTAGCCAATCCGGGAGCTTTATTGAAATCATACGATATGACGTCACAGTCGCCTGATCGCAGTCAGGACACAAATGCAAAACATATTGCCAACTCTTTCTAACACAAATCTAAATATCGTAAAAATGGCAACATTATGGTACATTATTATTGTATACACTACATTTCCTCCCCTTTAAGTTTAAAATATTTTTTTCTTAAAATACGCAATTTTATCAACACATCAAACCAATTAAATAATCATTAAGTAGCCTAAAACAAAAACACTTTTATAAAACAATATTGTATGACTCAATCAAATAATACAAAACAATAAACATTAAAACAAAACAACCTTGATAAAATTGGAAACAAAACACAGAAATAAATATTTACAAATTCAACCTTTCAGGAGGTTTTATTTCTCTGGCAGATCGCCTCAATGGCGATGCTTGTTTGGGTCGATCAGCTGATCGTACAGGTGATGTAAAGGTCACGTCCGGTGGAGTAAGCGATGAGCGCGTACTACTACGTTTACTACGTCCTGGAGTACGAGGTGTACTCGGCATTTCCGGTCTCATGGGTGAAGCCCGACCAGCTGACTGAGCATTGTTACCAACATCCTGGTCAAACATATGTTCAGCTGGAGGCAACACTACCTCTCTAGTAATATCATTCTGTTGATCATTCAAATTTACCTTAGTGTTTAACCCGACCAGCTGGTCAATATGGCGTTTCCATACAATACCTGAGTCTAATTTTACTAAATAAGATACAGGACTTAACATTTTAATCACTACACCTTGTGTCCATTTATTTCTTCCCCTGTAATCACGAACTAAAACAGGCTGTCCTATTGACAGTTCTCTAGTTTGACTTCCCCCTTTGTTTACAATTTGTTTGTTTTGGTTTGACAAAACCGTTTTACTAACAGAAGGACGTATCAAATCTAATGTAGTTCGCAATACTCTACCGAACATTAGTTTGGCTGGAGTTTCATTGGTTGTATTATGTACTGCATTTCGATATGCCAACAAAAATCTACTTAAAGCTAAGTCTGGATTTTGATTTGAAAACAAAGCCCCTCTTATTCTTTTCTTTACTGTTTTTACAGCATTTTCCGCCTGGCCATTACTAGCGGGAAAGTAAGGTGGTGTCAGCGTATGCCTAACCCCATTAGCTTTAAGAAACTTGCTAAATTCACAGGATGTAAAAGGAGGGCCATTGTCTGTGACACACTGTTCCGGAATTCCAAACCTTGCAAACATAGGTCTCAATTTATTTATGACTACTTTGGCAGATGTGGAACTGACCTCCTCTACTTCTATCCATTTACTATAAGCATCAACTACAACCATATACAACTTTGAATTAATAGGGCCTAAAAAATCTATGTGTAATCGTTGCCACGCTGACTTTGGGTATTCCCATACATGTAAATATGACCTTGACGGGCTTTGACGTTCCATGAGACATTGCGAGCAACTATTGGCAAGTTCTTCCATGTCTTTATCTATTGAAGGCCACCATAGATAAGAACGGGCTAGAGCCTTCATTTTGACTAGCCCTAAATGTCCACAATGTAATTCTTGTAACAGTCCCCTTTTATACATTTTTGGAATGACAACCCGATAACCCCACATTAATATGCCATGCTCAATAGTTAGTTCGCTCCGCCTTATGAAATAAGGTCGTAATTCCTCGTTTACCTCATTAGGCCAGCCATACAAGACATAGCCAAATACCTTACTTAACTCGTGGTCTTTTTGTGTTTCCCTCTTAATATCAACAAAACTAATTGGAATATCTCCCTCCGCTAAAAATTGCAAATAGGTTCCTACATAAGGATTTTCCTCATACTGATCGTTAACATGTTTGGCTTGCAAAGGTAAGCGAGATAAACAATCTGCAGAAGCATTTCCCTGAGAGGAAACATATTGTATGTCAAAATCATAGCTGGCTAAAAATAAAGCATACCTCTGTAATCTGCTAGCGGCAAAAGCCGGAAGTCCCTTTTTAGGGCCAAAAATTGACAACAATGGTTTGTGGTCTGTTACTAGTGTGAATTTTCTACCAAACAAATACTGATTAAATCTTTTAACAGCAAACACAATAGCTAAAGCTTCTTTGTCTATTACAGAGTAGTTTGATTCGGCTTTAGACAATGTCCTTGACGCAAAACAAATAGGTTTTTCAGATCCATCTGATTGCGTTTGACTTAACACACTTCCGACCCCGTAGGCAGAACTATCAGTAGCTAACCTCAAGGGTAAATTTGGGTCATAATGCGCCAAAATAGGAGCTGAAACTAATTTGCTCTTAATTAATTGAAACGCTTTGTCACATGATAAATTCCATTCAAATGGAGTGTCCTTTCTGAGTAAATGATACAGTGGGGATACAATGGTAGACATACTTGGCACAAATTTAGAATAATAATTGACTAAACCTAGAAAAGCTTTTAACTGAGTTACATTGGTAGGCACTGGGGCGTTTACAATAGCTTCAATTTTACTAGGAGATGTGCCTAGTCCTTGTTTACTTAATATGTACCCTAAATACTCAACAGATTTACAGAAAAACTGACATTTATTTTGACTTACTGTTAAACCATGATTCTTTAAAGTTTCACACACTTGAATCAACCTCTCTAGGTGCTGTTTGTCATCAGTTCCTGTTACCAAAATATCGTCTAGGAAGCAAACAACGCCGGGAATGTGAGCTAAAATGCGTTCCATTATACTCTGAAATATTCCCGGGGCGGATGCTACACCATATGGAACTCGGTTGTAAATATACAATCCTTTCGATGTACTTATTGTACAATACTTCTTTGATTCCTCGTCTAACTTTACCTGAGTGTAAGCCTGAGAAAGATCGATTTTTGAAAATGTCTCCCCTTTTTGTAAATTATTAAAAATGTCCTCAATCCTTGGAATTGGGTGGCGATTGACTACTAAATAGGGGTTGAGCGTTACTTTAAAATCGCCACATATTCTTATACTTCCGTCCTTTTTCAAAATAGGCACAATTGGAGTTCCCCATTCACTATTGCTAACTTGAGTTAAAATCCCATTATTTACTAATCGATCAATCTCACACTCCACTTTACTTTTGATCGAAAATGGTATAGGTCTGGGTTTGAAAAACTTAGGAATTACATTTTCCTTCAACTCTAATCTAGCTGCATCTCCCTTGTAACAACCTAACACATCAGTAAATACGTCAGGAAATTTACTGTACAGTTTACTGACAATTACAGGTTTTTGATCTAGCTTTTCAACCGTGTTCAAACTATTTTCTTTAGGGATTTGGATCGATATTTCTAGTTCCCTAATCCAGTCTCTTCCCATTAGAGGATCAGCCCCTTTAGACACAACATACAATGTTAACTTTTTATGCTCAGATTCATGCTGTACATTTACGTTAAGTTTTCCTACAGGTTTTATTGGCTGGTTTGTATAGGAGCTCAAAACTAAATTAGTGGGCATTAATTCGAGATCAGAGAAATTATCGTTATAACACTTTTCAGAAATTACTGACACGCATGCTCCACTGTCAACCTCAAATGGCAATACAGTATGTTCTACTTTAAGATTAACCGTGATAGGTTTTATTCTATCCCTCTGTTTACTTTCCTCATCATTTATGGAAAATAAATTAGCTAAATCACTATAATCATCGTCATTGTCATTGACACCTGTGTTCTCTACATAGTTTTGCTTATACTTATGAGACTTGTTACCAGAGGTAAACTTAGGTGTACAGTTCTTTTGTCCATCTTTACGCTTATCATTAAATGCAAATTTAGATTGTGACTCACCATTGTTTTTCTTCATCAGACACGCACTTTCTAAATGGCCTTTCCTCTTACAAAAATTGCAAGATAAACTTTTAAAACGGCACTCACTTTTTAAATGACCAGATTTACCACAACAATAGCACTTTACTTCACTTTTTGAGCGCTGCCACGGCTTCCGCTGCTGCTGCTGCTGCTTCGAAGCGACGTTGTGGAGACGACTTCCTCCCCCCGTGTTGTGGTAGGTCAGGGCCGCGGTGTCTCTAGCTGCCAACTCCATCGATGTGGCTATTTGGACCGTCTTCTCGAAGGTGAGATCTTCTTCGCCCAGCAACCTCTTCTTGGTGGCGTCGTCCCTCAACCCACTTACGATCCTGTCCCGAAGATGATCCGGTAGTTTGTCCTTAAACTCGCAGTTGACAGAGAGTTTCTTCAGGTTGACGATGTAATCAGCGACTGATTCATGCTCTAATTGTGTTCGTAGACTAAACTTGTACCTTTCGGCAATAAAAGAAGGTTTTGGATGAAGATGTCCCTTAATGATCCGTACAATATCCTCGTAGCTCTTAGTAGCAGGTTTGTCTGGTGTACATAAGTCTTTGAGCAGGTTATAAGTTTTCACTCCGACAACCGTCAAAAGCGTACTAACCTTTTTAGCGTCGGTAATATCGTTACATGTAACAAACAATTCAAAACGCTCGATATATGAGTCCCAAGTTTCTTCCGAATTATCAAAAGGACCGATCGCACCGATGAACGACATCTTGAAATTTAATAAAGTTCCAAAGTTATCAATAAGGTTCTCATCAAGCGGCATTAATGTTTCACTCACACGCACTGTTCGAAGTTAACTTGACCGAATTCTTCTGTAAACACACGTACCTTCCTACGGTGCATTAGAAGTTCAATTGTCACTTTTAAAAACACACGTACCTTGCTACGGTGCACTTCGATTGTCACTTAAATCACTTAAAAACTTTTTACGCGTTGAGTCATTTTCGTACCTCGTCGCCACTGGAACGTTTGGGGTGCAATGACTTGAAATAAAAACACCATTTGGGGAATTAAATAAAACCCGGCCGACTACATGGTTACGGTTTGCTGGAATCTTGAGGACTGGTCAGCAAGGAAACTTTTGGAACGGCGGTTAAATGTGGAGGGAATAGTGGCGTGATGGGTTGTAGCCAATCCGGGAGCTTTATTGAAATCATACGATATGACGTCACAGTCGCCTGATCGCAGTCAGGACACAAATGCAAAACATATTGCCAACTCTTTCTAACACAAATCTAAATATCGTAAAAATGGCAACATTATGGTACATTATTATTGTATACACTACAGAGGTTATCCACTTTATAGCCATGCCTGACACACCATAAAAGTTTAGTTTTTGTATTAATAGGCTATGGTTTACACAGTCAAATGCTTTTGACAGATCACAGTAGAGACCAGCTACTGCCTGCGATCTGTCAAGAGCACCTGTGACTTCGGTAATAAAGCTAAAGATTGCATCTGTCGTACTCCGTCCCTTCCGGAATCCAAACTGACATGTATCCAAAATTTGAGATGTTTCAAAATGATCACACAATCTATTGAAGACGACTTTCTCAAATATTTTTGAGAAACTAGGCAATAAAGAAATAGGTCTGTAGTTGGATATATCTTTTGGGTCACCCTTTTTAAAGACTGGTATTATGTTTGATATTTTTAATAGGTCAGGGAAAACACCAGTATACAAAGAAATGTTTATCAAATGAACAATGGGTTGAGCAATAAACTCTGAACTTGATTTCATTAATGAAGTTGAAATTTCATCCCATCCAGAGGCTTTAGATGACTTTAAGTATCTCATGCTCATACTTAATACTATCTCATGTATTAAAAAAAAACTTGCAAAACTTATGACAGCTAGCCTGACCATACTACTGGACCGAATTACACTCGGGTTGTACAATAAAAAAGGTTATCGGTCCTATATGTGCAGGTTTTATTTGTATTTTGAAAATATTTATGTTGACCCTTTGCGGTCGATTAGCGAGTATCGGTCGCAGCCAGCCATTTTCCCGACAGCTCAAAAATGGCGACCTATAGGCCTACTCACAAAAATAATAATAATAATAATAAGGCTAGAATTTAAAAAGTTTATCTTTGCAATCGAATGGCAAGTATAGGTCACCACAAGCCATTTTCCCGACTCCATGGCAACCTATACTCGCCGAAAAAAGAAAAAAAAACTACCTCAAAGGGTTAATTGGGTCAAAAAATGGAAATTAAACTTTTCTAATGGAGATTTAACATGGGGCTAGTTCTATATATTAATAGACAAATATTAATTAGGCCTATATAATATTATCATTATTGGCGTAATATCATTGGGTACTTCTTACAAATTTTTCTCAATAAACTTAGCAAGCTGTTTCTAAAAGCCCACATAATATGTTGTGTTTATTATATTTATTTATAAACTTAAATTAAACCACAAATAAGTACAATGTAATGTTCAGTACACACTTAAGTTATTTACTTTAAAATAATAAACATTTGACTTTTGTAATTTATTTGTATTTTTCAATGTCTTGACCAACACTTTCTAAAACACAGTTTTAAATGCACAATGTGTTTTTATTGTTTGTGTTATCACAGAATATGCCTAACCTAGAACTCTCACTAAGTTAAAAAAAAAAAACTTGTGTTTAAATCTTCTAGCATCTACACCAGAATCTAGAAGCGCTGCTGTCACTCACTGGCAGAGTTAGGCAGACATGGGGACGGTGGAAGAGGGAACTGATGTCACTACACTGCTTCTATCAGCTGATCATAAATAAATGTGAAATGTCTTCAATTACAATACCACAATGACAGCAACGCTTCTAGATTCTGGTGTAGACACTAGCAGATTCAAACACAAGGTTTTTGGCTTTGTGAGAATTCTGTGATAGGTTCTTATTCTGTGGTTTTTTCCTTTCTGTGACAAGTTTAGGTCACAGACTACTGTACATGCATTTATACACTCTACTCTTTCTTTTGTCTAGGTTGTAATATTTCTTTCAAGAACACTCAAGAAGACCTACTTCAACCAGATTTTATTAGAGATGCCAGTAGCTGCTACTCACTATGTTGCGTACCTCTCCACTCGCATGAAGGTGTCTGAGCTAACTGATCTCTTAGAGTAAGTGCCATTTTTTCTCAAGTTTTAACTGCATAGTCGTGCATTTTTGCAAATTCTCATTAATGTTTAAGTGTGAGTTTTGTACGTTTCTAAATTTCCACTGCCCAGGACCCCACGAAGGAGGTTGTTGGTCGGAGATTAACTGTAAAACTATATAAGAGGTAATCCCATTGAGTTCTGTGAAATTGCATTCCTTATAGAGTTGTGGTAATCGTGTAGGCCTACTGATTGGTCTCAATCTCAATCTAAGTATTTTGTTTTTCGCCCAATGCTGAAACCAAATCTTTATGTTTCGGGCTAAAATATGGATTTTTGTTATCATTCATTTTTCGTTTGAGTCTGATTTTTTAACTATTACCCCAAGTACCTCAGTAATAACTCTGTAGCATAGACTACCCAACACAAGTAGACTTCTCATCCCATTGTAAGTTTTGAAGCACGTTTTTCGTGTCTAGTTTATGTACGGTGACACTGGGCGCTAGTGTCGACAACATTTTGTTTCTATTATTTTAGGGTTAATTTCTTGATTTGTGCTTTACTGTTTGGTTATATAACTAGGGGACAAGTTGTTGTTTATGATTAGATTGTATTATTTGGTTAAACAAGGTTTTAAATTACTGGGACACAAATTGTAAACAAAACACAACCTCTACATAAACCATACAGAACAAACAATAAAATTGTCTTCAGCCGTTCCATAAGGATGAGAAATCTACTAAGGGAGTATATTTTATCTATGTCTGTAGTCTTGTAACTGATGAAAAAAAAATTAAAACTGTGGAAATGATGTTTTGATGTGTACACAATTGTTTACATTCCCCAAAATGCTATGTAATTCAGTTGATAAAATTGAACTCCAAAGCTTGGTTCGACATTTGTGGCAAGCACACTACAAAACAGAGAAATTTAAATTGTTATGATTTACATGTAGGGTAGATGGTGTAAAACTTGTGTCATAACATGATATTAGAAATGAAGGTTAAGAGTACTCCATATAAAACAAATATAATAGGCCTATATTTATTTTATATGGTTTACTTTAGTTTGTTTGTTCATCAAAAAATATTTCTTACTTTCTGGTCATCCCACTTATAATCCTATATTTTAATTCGCACAGGATTTACCTCCACCACATTCTAACCAGTTTTTATTTCCAGGATGTTGGGGAAAAACAAAGATGCTTCGGTGAGTCCTATTTTCTATCTTTACCATTATTTTATTGTTTTTTACCACAATTTGCTATAGCGATAAGTTACCGGTATGTATTTTTAATATTTCAGTATGATATTACATATAACCAGGTAAATATTCAGGGTGTTCAGACGACCTGAAAACCGGGAATTGGTAACTAAATTTTGATGACCAGGAAAACATCTTTGAATTGTATTTAAATTTTATATAGGACGGGAAAAATTTAATTTTTTAATGATAAAAAAATCTGCCCAAAATTTCTATTTGTTGTCGATTAACATTATCAAAACTAGAATTTCAAAAAAACTGAAACATTGATATTGTTGTGATTACGTCAAATCAACACATTTGTAGCTGCGATCATGTGAAATCATCACAGGTGTTGCTGCAATCATGGTAGACTATTATAGTTATTGCCGATATTGCTAGAAATAATCAAAGAGTTTGACATGATTGCTAGGGATGACCACAGATGTTATCAGAATTGCAAGAAATGATTCTCGGTTGTTGGTGCAATTGCAAGAAATGATCACAAACGTTTTTTGCCATTACTGTGAAAGGTGTATTGCCATGATCACTGAATATTCAAGAAAGTTGTTGTGATCTTGGTAAAGTATTACAAATGTTGCTGCGATAATGAGATACTATAACTGATGTTGTAGTAGCAGGGTAATCACCACCATTAGAGCCATAACTGAAGAACAAGATCAGGGGAGTTAGCATGGTTACTGTATGTTCACGAACATTATTGCAACCTTAAAAAGCTGCCACGGTCATTGCCGCAATTGTGGCAAGTCATTATAAATGTGTTGCATAACGAGATATGATCACAGTTGCTGGCATAAGCCAGGTTGGTTTTTCACACATTTTCATTTAAAGGAAGTAGTAGACCCCTTTATCATGAATTGTTTTAGATGAAGCAGTTTGAGATTGCTTGTCAGAATTCTCAAAGACAAATGCAAAGGCTTGTGACCTGCTCCAAGAACCATCTGTTTGAAGGAAGAGATAGTCAGATCCTGGAACATTATATTAAGTTCCTTGGTGAGCTTTTATATTTCAGTTTCTGTTGTAATAAGTGGGAAAGTCGTGAAAAGTAAGAATCTCTAATTTCTTAATTGATTGTCTGTTTATTCCTTTAGCTTAACAATAGCTTAAACAATTAAAATATTGAACTTTTTGTACTAAAAGAGAAGTAAGTTTCATTTAGGATCAAATTTGTGTAGATTAACTTGTAACTATTATCATTGACCTACAAAATTTACAGTTTATTCATGTATTATAGCCACTTTGTACTTAATTTTAACTGTTTAGATTTTGAACCTTTTTTATTTCAATTTTATATTATGTTAGCTTGTATTATTTTAATGGCTGATACTTCCTAAAATATTGTGTGTTCAACTGAAAGTGAAAGAGTGACTACACTTTTATTTCCTTAACAAACAGAACAAAAGTGACCTGAGCACAACAAATACTGCAAACACCAAGAGTAGACAAAACCTAAATAGGTTTCAAAAGATTTAAAAAACTAAATTAAGAGTGAATTTCATACATTGATCTCTTTTGATGCTTAGTGAGTATGATTTCTTTCAGAGTGGCAAGCAGAGGCGAAGATCGGTGAGGAGTCTGTGGTGGACTGTTTGTTTACTCTATGTGAGCTGCACTGGGGGGAGGCAAAGCCCCCTCTTTCCCCCCTCCTATTCACCCAGCTGCAGGGAGTCTGCGACAAGCAGTATCAGTGGACGGCCATAACTGCATTAGCCAAGCGTCAGGCCTGGCAGGACATACAGACATTCCTCATGGCAAAAGTAACTATGTGTACAATGTTAGTTGAGAGAATTATTGTGGAGATTTTCCATCATGATTAATAAAAAAACTTTTCGCTTTGTTTTGGATATGGAATATCTGATTTCGAGTGAGAATGTATGTAAAATATTACAAGGTTAGTACACAAATTCAGATAAAACTGGAAATTATTAAAAAACAACATACAGAAAAAAAACAAACACTTATTTCAGATCCTAAAGTGTCATAAAAATTAAAAAGGTTAAAAATCCAGATATAACTGGAAACTGCAAGAGAAAAACTGTTTATTACTACAGAGAGAACTCTATAGCTGACAAAAAGAGAGAAATCCTAGAAAGAAAACAAGACTAGTACAAATAGTAGGTAGATGAACCCAATGAACATGCCTGCATTATGAACTTGCATTATGTTGTAAAGTAGGCTATTTTACCTACGACCGTTTTTTAAACTAGCCGTTTCAGTTCGGTTCTTAGAATTGAAAAGATTCACTTAACAGCACTGTTAACTTACTTAACAGCATTGTTTTACTTAACAACATCAGTAATGGCCCGATGAGGTTCAAGGATTGAGAGAAAAGATGTAAAATTGTAATGCTTTGAACTTAAGTAATCAGCAAATAGTGGTTGGTACAATGTGTCGTTGCATCACATTTAGTGGCTATGAGAGGTTTTAAACGAAAACATAATCTCTTTTAGAAGCTACTAGCTGTAACCCGCGGGCTTTGCCCCGTTTAACTTCTTAATTTTCAAGATGATCTCGTTCGCATGGCTCAATCACGTCCTGGTTGAAGTTCGTTCGCTGCGCTCACTCACCTTTAGGTTGGAGCTCTTTCGCTACGCTCACTCACCTTTAGGTTGGAGCTTGTTCGCTGCGCTCACTTGCCTTCAGGTTAGCTCGTTCGCTACGCTCACTTGCCTTCAGGTTAGCTCGTTCGCTACGCTCACTCACCTTTTTGGTTGCAAATTAGCTGTTGTCATAAATGTAAAAGAAATAATAGTGCTGCACCCTGTTGGTAATCCTTGTAACTTTAATGCTATTGAACATCATAGAACAGAACCAACTTGTTTAATTGAAACAGCTGTTAAGATTCATTAATTCCATTTCTCATAAGGTTAACATGGGAAACTCCAGAGCCACTGGGGCGGAGCCTATTGGACGGATCACGAAATTGATGGTGTATAAACCTATTCCATGACATTCTACACGAATGTACCAAGTTTCGTGGCAATCGGTTCAGCGGTGTCCGAGTTTATCACCCCCAAACAAACAAACAAATATATATACAAACATCCTCTTTTATATATATAGATAGATGAGTAGTGATTGTTAGTAATTAAAAAAACGTTCATAGGTAATGTAGTGTATGTAGGCAACTCGGGTAATTAATATAAAAAAAATGTATTTATATTTAATAGCATATATCGTACCTTTAATTTCTACTTGTGTCAATAACACTACCTTAATGTGATCGTAGCGTAAACTACTATTCAGCAATATTTTTTGGCTTGGATTTTGGTTCTTAAGATCACACAGATTTGTGTTAGATAGGTGGCTCAGTTGCCTTTGGGATGTTTGTTTTAATGAAACGTATCTATTGTAAAAATTTAAAAATTTCATATTTTTATTTTTTTTTATTTATTACTTAGTACAGCACATATACAATGAATTTACAGTACCAAACTGCATAAGCCTTAAAAAAGAAAAGGCTTGTCCGCAGCGTTTCTTTTAATACTAATTATCTTTTCCATCTTCATCTTGGTCTTGAGTCAGTGTGAACTATTTACAGTACAAAAATATACTTCCTACTTCTTAAACAGTAATAAATTTGGCTTATAACATTTTTACATGATTACAAACAATTTAAATATTGAAGGGGCAAAAAAAACTGTAGAAAAATAAATTAAACGAGGTGTTAGCCCGTCCTACGTACGGGAAACGGTGTAGGCCTAATTCAGGACAGCTAGTTTACACGTATAAAGACAAATGTTATTGCAGCCTACAGTAGAAGGAGTAATTATCAATTGAGAATTGTATAGGCCTAGTCAACGATATCACCTTCCATTGCATACCTAACTCTTCAATAATCAATATCACCACAATACAATTACTCATACTATACACAATTTCCAGTAGGTCTGAATTGAAACTCCCTAAAATAAAACGAAAACATAAAAAAAATCACAGTACACATAATTATAACGGTGGTGTCCTGACATCACTAAACGAATCGTCCATACACATCCTTTATGTCAATTTCACTGCATCAATTAATTAATTGCTAAATAAATAAGTGTAAACAAAGAAAAGTAAACACAACAACATATTAGTTTGTTTTGTAAACAGCTGAGTCAAAAATAATATTCTTTTAAACAAAAGAACTGGTCACATGTGGAAGGAATTTAAAAAGTAAAAACGCTAGTAAAGCTAGTGACGTAATTAATTGTCTATGTTTATTATCCATTCCGTTATCAGTTCCAATATCCTTGATAATTAAACCACCCTCATTGAATCAATGTACATCGTAATTCCCCATATTCATTTATTTAAACTATAATATATTTAGCGCCTCCAAACTTAACCACAACTAAACACACGCCAAACAACTTTTTTAGATTTCATAAATGGATGGTTAGTCTAATTGCAGTAAATAGGTCAATGATGACGTTGTGTTCAATCTATGTCATTCTTCTGTATATCTTTGGATAACAGCCGTCTGAGGTTGTGGTGGTAATTTAAAATCGTATTCCTGAGAATTCTTGATCTCCATCTTTATGACATCAATATTTCCGGGCCTAATCAAAACAAAGTTCAAGCATTCAAAAACATTGATTGTAAACAAAAAGCTGCCAAGATGAATCAAAACATGTAAAAATTGTGATTTTCCTACCCTTTCCAAAAAGGTTGAGCAGTAAAATAATTTGCATACCTTTTTTATTTAACTCGTGTACAGAGCCTCGACTTGTACACATCGATGGTGTTACTTATCTCGGTGGTCTACTAATCTTACTTATTTCCTATAATCAATGACAAAATCAGAGTAAATAACCTCATAGTTCTATAGGGCATTTTTATAACTAACCAGCTGTTAGTTGCAACAAATTATATTGCTCCAAAACAAATCGAAGATTACAAAGATTTGAAAATAATTTGAACATCCTAGTATTTTAAAACGTTTTTATTAGGTCGCTTTCTTGTCCGCTACAAATTTTGCAACCGATTTTATACTAACTTCCCGATGAGCTAGGGACTTGAAACTTGAAACATATCTCACAAATGGAAGACAATGCAATATTATACAATTTAATTTTCATATTTACCTTGGGCTACGCCCCATGGGCTTGTTTTTATTAAATCGATTTCTTGCAAATTTTGATACTTCCCGATGAGCTAGAGACTTGCAATTTGAAACATAGCTCACAAATGGATGACATTGCAATATTATATCATTTAATTGTCATATTTCCTTTCGGGCTACGCCCCATGGGCTTGTTTTTATTAGCTCGCTTTCCTACAAATTTTGATATCAATTTTAAACGATGTTCCCGATAAGCTAGAGACTTGAAATTTGAAACATAGCTCACAAATGCATGACAATTGACAATGCAATATTATATCATTTAATTTTCATATTTCCCTTGGGCTACGCCCCATGGGCTTCCAAATTTTTCATGTTTACATTTTGAAAGGATGTAAATATATCAACTAATTTAAGTCAGCTGTAAATACTTAAATTTGACAGTTCGAAGAGCAGAGGTTAAGAGGTACAGGTTATGCTCCCAAGAGATTCTTTATACAAACAAACATTTCAAAATAAAGATAAACAATCTGATTGCAATATACAAGGTATCAAGGTGTTTGTAAATAATGTCAATTTTTGTTTATTTAGTATTCTATAAAGTAAACAATAAATATTTCGAGTGAATGCATTGCAGAGAAGTACTATATTTCAGAAACATTGCGATTAAATAGATTGATATATTTATAGTTAGTAGGTAGGCCATACATGCAATCCAATACATAATTATATGCAAAGAAACTCAAATAAACCTTATATTTCCCACATGCCTCTGTCTTAATCTGATATAGATGCTTGAAATAGATTTAACATGCACACACATTAAAACTAAAAAGTATAAAATAATTTATAAATAACAAACATTTTTAAACAAAACGTTTTTAAACGCCCTAAAAAGTAGAAAATAATTTACAAATAATTTATAAAAATGTAGAGAGAGTAAAAATACTTGTACGATTTAAAACGAAAAACGTTGGGTGCATGCAATTAATTGATAATAATACATTAGTTCAGTAGGTGAAGGTAATTGTAAACTATCTATTGCATGCACCCCACGTTTTTCGTTTTAAATCGTACAAGTATTTATACTCTCTCTACATTTTTATAAATTATTTGTAAATTATTTTCTACTTTTTAGGGCGTTTAAAAACGTTTTGTTTAAAAATGTTTTTTATTTATAAATTATTACTATGTATATTAAATTAATCTGTCATCCTCTTACAGAAGAATTGAACGTATCAATGATTAGCATTACACATAGTATAAATAAGTCAACCCTAAGTATGTCTTTACATTTTTATCCAAATGCTGTATTTGTGACACAAAAGCTGAATGTTTACAGCTGTTATGTTAAGCAAATTATTTTACTGCTAGTTTAGAATCTTAGCGTCGGCTGCTAGACTTTTTAAAAATTAAAACTTAATTTATAAAAAACTGGGACCCTAAACTAAAATTATGGCTTCGACATTCCCTAGTTCTCAAAATTATCTTTCTTTCAACACAAAAATCATGAAAATCCGCCGAGTGGTTGATTCAGAATCGTAAAATAAAAAAAACACTGTTTCGTTTTAATATTATAGAAGATGTAAAAAATAAGAACAAGTGTAAATATTCAAGGAATCTTCTTAAAATTATATAACATGGGGATATACTTTCAGATTACAAACATTCAACAACAAATATATATCTAACAAGGAATAATAACAGCTGAAACAAACTTTATAACATATAATAAAACAGGAACTATATTTTTAACAGTTGATAAAAGATATATATATATATATATATGTAAAATTCTGTAAAGAATAAATATGATTCATGTATCACTCTTCATCCATCTTTCTTATAAACTTCACTCTATTGTGGACCAAGCACAGAAGTGTTTTGGTGACGTTCAGAAATAAAGCGACAAAGTCCCTATTCAGGAAGAAATAATGGATACACAACTAACACAAGAAAAGAGCTCCAAGCAGTCGATAGCACACAAAAGTTGACAACTTAATTAATTTATAACAGCCATTTTACTACATCCGTCTGAAGAAAAAACCCCTTTATGGGGCGACGAATGAAATAAACTGTATTGTCCAACTTTTTATGAGCTATTAAATGTCTGGAATTATTTTCTTGTTAGTAATATCCCTTCCTTCTTCCTCGTCATATTCTGAAGCTTAATGTTTTTTCTCCCAAAAGTCTGAAGTCCCTTAGTCTTCATTTATTTGCGTGTTTCAGAGTTGGCTACGAGGACCAAAGTTGCGAGTGACGTTGCCTCTAGACCACATCGTAGTGGCACTGCATTCTAGTGGTGCGCCTGAAGACACCTTGTACACCTTCCTACAATTAATAGACAACGTAGACAAACGGCTGGTGCTGGCAAGACAGGTGGCGTGCGATAAGGCTATAATACAGGTCAGTAGTGGTGGTTTCATTATGTATTAAGGTGCAATGTAAGTTTCAAGTGCGGTTACGTCAAAAATCAATATTTTTTATCTAATAATGGTTTATCTTCCCTATGTTGCGGTCAGAGTGATCAGTTGTATTATAAATCACTCACATCACTGTTGGTAAAAAAAACAGCACTAGGACAGTCGAGCCATAACTTATCTACCATAGCTCATATTTGCAATAATTGTCTGGTTGATCAGCATTAAAAAGATGTTAGGTTTTGTCTCTATTGTGTTAAGTTTTAGTACCAGGAGCTTTGCTCGGATTGAATTAAATATTAAATTTATTAGATAAGCTATTTAGCTAAATTAAAGATATTTGTACGTTAATCAATGTGAACAAATTTTAGATGATACAAAGAAAACATTTTAATACACCTTATATATTTTATACATAGGTTGCTGTTGCTATAAAAATTACCTGTATCATCTGTTTTATTAACTGCAGCTACAAAAATGTATTGACAATAACGTGGGTAAAGGGCTGTAGGGATTTTTCTGGATTTTTCCCAGCTTGTGACCAATTTTTGGCAGCATGAAAGAGCTGTAGTTGATTTGTACTACAACGGAACAAGTAACACACGCCTTTATTTGTTAATTCTTACGTTTCAGAAGCCCATTCATCATGATATTTTTTTGTGTCCAAAACATAGTAAAGGAAATACAATCATAATATAATATTCAAATCAAATGGGAAATTAGCTAGGCAATGGGAATTGCCTGATAATTAGTTACTCTGGCTTGGCCAATAGAATGTGACATGGATCCCATACTGTGAATGTGATAGAGCAGAAAATGACTGTCTCAAAAAGAATTTACATACCTATTATATCATTTCATCTCTGTAACTTACAAAATAGTTACAATATTATTTAGTTTTGTAAATAATATAATAGTGATGGTCGGATCCGGATATCGGACTACCGGATCCGCCGGATCCGAGCTAGAACCGGCACCGGATCGGATCCAAAAAATTCCGGATCTTGGGCTGGATCCGGTTTTGATGGATCCGATTTTTTCAAATTTTTCCCCGATTTTTTCCTAACACAAAGCTTTCTGTATCACTGTACAACCCCGATTTTTTTACCAACACAAAGCTGTCTGTATCACTGTACAACACCGATTTTTTACTAACACAAAAAGCTGTCTGTATCACTCTACAACCCCGAATGTTTTTACTAGCATAAAGCTGTCTGTATCACTGTACAACACCGATTTTTTTACTAACACAAAGTTGTCTGTATCACTGTACAACACCGATTTTTTACTAACACAAAAAGCTGTCTGTATCACTGTACAACCCAGATTTTTTACCAACACAAAGCTGTCTGTATCACTGTACAACACAGATGTTTTAACTAACACAAAGCTGTCTGTATCACTGTACAACCCCGATTGTTTACTAAGACAAAAAGCTGTCTGTATCACTGTGCAACACCGAGTTTTTACCAACACAAAGCTGTCTGTATCACTGTACAACACCGATTTGATTACTAAACACAAAGCTGTCTGTATCAATGTACAACACCGATTTTTACTAACATAAAGCATTCTGTATCACTGTACAACCCCAATTTTTTACTAACACAAAAAGCTGTCTGTATCACTCTACAACCCCGAATGTTTTTACTAGCACAAAGCTGTCTGTATCACTGTACAACACAGATTTTTTTACTAACACAAAGCTGTCTGTATCACTGTACAACACCGATTTTTTACTAACACAAAGCTGTCTGTATCACTGTACAACCCCGATTTGTGTAATAAACACAAAGCTGTCTGTATCACTCTACAACCCCGATTTTTTACCAACACAAATCTGTCTGTATCACTGTACAACCCCGATTTTTTCCTGTTTTTTTTACTAACACAAAGCTGTCTGTATCCATGTACAAGACCGTTTTTTCCCCGAGTGTTTGTCTCTTGATGCAAACAACTTATATGGCAAGGACATGTCTCGATGTTTGTATCTAGATGCAAATAACTTGTATGGCAAGGCCATGTCTCAGTGTTTGCCTCTTGATGCAAATAACACATATGGCAAGGCCATGTCTCAGCGTTTGTCTCTTGATGCAAATAACTTATATGGCAAGGCCATGTCTCAGTGTTTGTCTTTTGATGCAAATAACTTATATGGCAAGGCCATGACTCAGTGTTTGTCTTTTGATGCAAATAACTTATATGGCAAGGCCATGACTCAGTATTTGTCTTTTGATGCAAATAACTTATATGGCAAGGTTATGACTCAGTGTTTGTCTTTTGATGCAAATAACTTATATGGCAAGGCCATGTCTCAGTATTTGTCTCTTAATTCAAATAACTTATATGGTAAGGTCATGTCTTAGTGATTGTCTCTTGGTGCAAATAACTTATATGGCAAGGCCATGTTTCAGTGTTTGTCTCTTGATACAAATAAATAACATATATGGCAATGGCATGTATCTTTCCGAACTCAATCCGACCCGATTTTTCGGATATCTTCACACCTCTAGTTTTTAGTTTTGTACCTGGATGATAAGCTAACGGCCTATAATTTCGTCTAAAAAAAATATCCCGTTAGTATTTTAATCTCACCCGATGCTTCGTGATAAAAAAATAATAAAAGTATGATTTAAATTGGCATTCTGTTAATTACGTTTTTTTTTTTACCCGCCCTTATGACAGTGTGTATCTGGATCCGAAGATCCGGATCCGAATTTTTTAAGATCCGGATTCGGATCCGGTACCAACATTTTCTTGGATCCGCCCAACACTATAATATAACAATATTCTGAAAAAGCTTTAGTAAAAGTTTATAAGCTTTTATAAAACTGTGTGAAATAATCTCCCACAAAGGAGAATTTTCTCATGTGTGTGGAAGAGAGACTATTTTGGATATTTTTTAAGATATAGAAAGGATTTTTGAACGGCTTCAAACTTATGCTGGAGGACTGAGCGATTGGTGGCTAACATATTATTAATTTATATTAATTTTTCATGATATTATTTTTTTTGGATACCGGTTAGTAGATCATTAATAATATTATTAAGATTCAATCTCTCATTCACAGGTTAGTTGATATTCATTTGTTTCAGGCATCAATGAATCTCCGAGACAAGCAGTCGTTGCCCAGTCTTCGATCTTAGTTACCTTCAGGTTAGCTTAGCTGAACCTTTGACTGATTTAAAGGTATAAGATAATATGTTAATTTGCTTTAAAAAGCAGTCAACGCTCAATTACCACTCTGGGATCTAGAAGTTACCTCCGACATGCTTGTACTACAATGTTGTTTTGATTGAATGCTCGTCCAAGCAGGGTAACTGTACTGTGTTAACATGTTTTTATCTATCCGTACTCATTATTTTTTCTTGGTTTAGTTTTTTGCTATGCTCAAAAGAAATTCCAGTTATTCCAGTTTAATATTTTAATAAGATAAAAAAATGGAATATTCAAATGATTTAAAATACTAAATTTGTAAAAAGTGTTAATCCAAAATAATTTGCACACAAAGAAATTATTCAACAAAAAACCATCAGATTTTTTTTTTAATCTGATATCTATTGGCAAATGTAATAAGCTACCGTAAGTAACTACTTGAATATCTAGAAGGGAAAATTCCAAATATCTGAAACAAAGCATTAAGGCTATAGTAAAATGATTGCTGACTGATCAAAAACCCCATCATACCCAATGTTATGAATGCCAGCGTAAAATTATTGAGGCTTGAGTATACTTCTGTGTGTTGTAGCTTGTATATTTTGCATAACATAATCAATTTACAAGGGAATTATACAAAACATGTAATGTATTGTTTTAAAACACTGTGATATTATGAGGAAGATACGTCTATTTTATAATAAATATATTTACTGTATACACTATATGTATTTTGGTGTTTATTCAAACCATTTTAAATCTGTAGATTAACTAGCTCAAGTGACCGACTGATAATTTATCGGAAATATATTAAAACTTGTAATTATTTTTTGTCTGTCTTGGAAACAATTTATTTGATGAATTTTTACAGAGACATTTTACGAGAGTTTTCATTACGATAGTTACACACCCAATGGATTGAATTCAACTGATGTAATTAGTCAGACTCCTCCAAGGCATGTCAAGTCACACCAGTTACAAGTATGATTCAATCAAGAGGAAATCATTAATAATATCCATTTGTTAAATAGGTCACACATTTTGACATTTTTATTATTAATTCAATTACCCTATAAAAAATATTATTATTAACTTTTTGCGGAGGGGTGGGGGTAAATCTACCCCTCCTACTCGGGCTTTTGACCTATTTTGGCACCCCTCAATTCAGTCTGACAGTCCTAGGCTTTTGACATAGCCTAGGAGCTGTGAGACGCCCAATTTCCTCATTAATCCGTTTCATGAGGTTATGTTTTGAGAGATAATTTAGCTTGGTTTAAAAATTATATAGGATGGAGAGGACACAGCTAACTCATCTGAAGAAATGTTGTAGACAAGTCACAGCACAAATAAATTATAATATACTTGACATCGGAGGCTTCAGAAGGAGATGGTTTGGCAGTTTGGAAACTGTTGTCTTTGTAACTGTGAGACCATCTACTTCTGATTAAGCCTCTGAAATAGATGAAATATAAAGCCTATTGAGTGTATAATTGATTTGTGCTGTGACTCATCTAACTTTCTTCAGTTGAGTTATTTGTGTCCTCTACATCTACATCCTATTAATGATTCAAGATTCAAGATCGTTATTTGTCATAAAGTAATACAAGTATTACAATAGACATTGTCAACATTTTTTTTTTTATATATTACATACAGTTGATTTCCTGTTAGAGTAGGCCTAACAGCAAGAATGCACCAAGTGAGTAGCAATCACTCTTTAAAATATAACTATAGACAAAAAGAACTAACTCTAAAATAAATAAATTAACAATTTACATGTCAATGATCAAAAATAAAATCTGTAAATTCTTACATTAGGAACTCAAGTAGTTTCATAATCTTAGATTTAGTAGCTCCAGTCTCCAGATAGTACTGATAAGATAAGCCTCTTCCATTCTTGTCTCCCTAGGCAAGCTCCTTATCCTAAGCTATAGATGCTTTTCTGTGAGTACTGTGTACCCTTTTATGAAATCTTTCCATTTCTTTCAAGGTCTCCCAACTCTTGCCTTTCTACCAATGTCTTTCTTAAGCCTTCCTTCATCCACACTTTTAACATTACCATCTCATGATGGTTCATATAATTAGTGTACAGGTAGAAATAAATTACAAAAACATTTCTACAAAACAACAACTTTAATTATACTTGAAATAGCTTAAAAACTAGCTTAAAGAATAATAACTCTTATCTTTGGTTTTAAGTTAACTACGGTACATAACTACCATGAAATGTATGTCCCAATGATACTTCAAATCACCGTTAACCACATGTTACATTTTCTTGAAATAACAACTTTTGTTATTTATGGTCACTAAAAAGAATTGCCGATTCAACCACAACTGATTTAAAGTATTGCTAAACATGAAAAATATAGCTTATTCAACCTTATTCATTACAAAAATTGGTGGTTTTATTCAATAAATATTTAAATCTTTAAATACTCAATAAAATAAGTGAGATCACTTGTATGGGCAAGAGGCTAACTAGGTATAGAACATATAAATGTAAAGACAAAATTATAACTTATAGTTAGTATAAATTGTACCAATATGCAATCAGAGAGCACAGCTCTGTGCTCTCTGTATGCAATACATACAAAATATTGTAGCTCTCAAACAAAGAGTAATCAGGAATATGACTCAGTAATGTAGTAATTTGTGGTGTTATGTTTTAAGGTTATTTTCATGTATTTACTACTGATAATTTTTGTTTTACCTTTCTGTAGAAATATTTACTAGGCCTATATGAAAAGGAATTTTATGAATAATGAATACTAACTGTTGGGAATTGATAAGATACTGTCTTCACTAAAGAGAACCCGAAAAATCAACTTTCACTTTGTCATACTAATGATTTTGCATTAGGTATTAATTAATATTTACTTGTTAAAATTCAAGTCTAATATGTATTTAGGAATTAGAAATTCATCCAAATAATTGACTAATGTTTTCCAAACATTTTGATTGATCTGAACACAGTTTGTTTGAAGAACAAAATATCCTTAACCTTTCAACCAAATGGCTAGAATCATTTACCAGAAGATTTAGTTCGATCACAGCCTTTGTTTCACAATTTAAATCAAATTTCACATTCAACTTTGAAATAACATCTATTTCCGTTCCATCATTTTTTTCCACATTAAAACAATAAATGTATAAACATACAAAAATTATTGGTTTAAACACAAATCATTTTATCTGTCTACTTTTAAAATCTCCAACCTTGTTCGAGTGGTTGTACAGCCTACTTCTTTTACCAGCTGCTGGAAGACTTTTCGATAGTGTTTATTTTCCTCAGTATAAAGAACTCTGATTTGAGGACTTGACTGCAGCAATACAGGGCACTGAATGTAATATCTGAAGAAACATCATGTTGTTTGGTGACACCCTGTAGAGCAGATCCAAAAACATTGCATCAGGTAGTCCAGGGTCTTGCTGCTCATACTTTCACCTAGGGAAACACAAAAAACTGACATTATTTTATGACAATTTTTAAGTACAGTACCGAATTTTTTTAGGTTTTAGTTGACTTATCATGGTTTTTATGAATTATTGTACACATTGCCGGATCCAGCAGAGTAAATCATGATGACCATATTGAATTGAAAGGTTTGTTTTTGCCATTTGTGTATCGGTATATGGACCAATTTCACTGTTTTGTATTTATTCTTTGGTGCAACTGTGGATAGAGTGTAGGCCTCAGGGGTTTGGATGACACGGGTCAAACCGTACATATCGCCAAAGATATTGAATTATGTGATAATAGCTATTTTTCTATATGCATTTTAGTTTGGATAAAACTTACTTTTCAATGAAAATCTGCTGTTGGCACGATACATAGATGCTTCTGAAACTAGAAAAAATAAATAATTAAAATATTTTCATGCAAAAAATATCAAATTTGGAACTTCTATATGTATATTCTACTTATAGTAAACATTAAATAAAAAATAATGTTCCAAATTTGAACACTGACAAATTGCCTAATTTCAAACCTGGGGACTCATTCATCGAAAGATGTGAGCGAGAAAGGGAATCTTGTATTTTATGACACATACCAAAAAGTTAAAAAATTAGATACCACTAAAGTACCGTACAAACAGGGAATTACCATGACCAATTAGTAACTGAAAATTTATTTGAAAAAGTTTCCTTCGGGATCAACCTCCACCCCTACAATGACCCTACGCATAGATTAAGTGTACCCATGTTATATCTGCTCAACAAAAGACAACTGCAACTGCACCATATGTGGTTGATGTACAACAGACCAAATAACCGTAACTGCAAGATAAAGTGCAAAGATTTTGTTGGTAAAATATTTAAAGAGTATCATCTAGGATTGCCAAGGTATTGTTTTGGAAATCAGAGTAGATTCTGTCTTTTCAGAAACAATGGTGAGACTGTGATGCTATCACAATTGATTGTAAATGAGTCTGAGATCACATAAAAGTGAGCCAACTCCAACAATGAACAATACTGTTGTATCTTGATTGTTGAAATATCCAGTTACAGAGTGAATAAAACAGTTATTGTATCTGAGTATCAGCAGCAGTACCATTAAAACAGATTACCACAGTTAAAAAATTTAAAGTTGTTAACATCATGTGATTTTCAAATCGGAAAGAGTTATTTAGTTTTTGCATTTAACCATACAGAAGTACTATGTTTTAACATAAGAGGTTCAATTAACAGGCAATAACTTGAAACTGCGGGAGTAAGCTGGTCTAGTGGTAGAGTGCAGGACATTGGTCCCTGAGGTCCTGGGTTCAAATCACCAATGGATTTTATCTTAGAGATAATGCCACAATCCCTAGGTCTATAGCCTGAAGTAATGTGAAAAACAATTCCGGGCTCGTGCCTAGCGTACTAAGATAAGAAAAAAAATAATGACTTGAAACTGGGATGCTATTTGTGATTTCATATCTCCACAAGCAATAGTTAAATAGTGTTGATTTTATTCATAAAACTATAAAGGAGTATGGACATTGGACATGTTCTATTTCAAGTTTAAAGATGTTTTAAAGATTTTCTGTTTTCTGAGTTTATAGTTTAATAGAACAATACATTCTATGATTTCAATGTAACTTACTTCAAATCCAGTTTTTCTGAGTTATCCGATCTTCCTGCAGTTCAAATTTTCTGTTACTTAGCCTATTTAGTTGATTGGTTAAAAAAAATTAATTTCCAGTGACATAGGCTGTTTCGTAATTAATTTTCAATTATTTTTCAAGTTTACATTTTTGTTTGTCCGTTTCCAATTTTTAACTTTGATGTATGCATTTTGTTCTGACTTTTTCCCAAGGTTCATTTCAACAATTAATTTTCTAATTTTTTTTTTCGATGTTTGATTTTTGTCTCGATAAAAAATATCATTCACTGCTTGTGACAAAAATCCCTTCAATAACTGTGCCCTCCACTTCGCTAGTAAACCACTCCTGCCTCGAGATGAACTAGAAGTAAAATATGCAATTTCTGCCTTTGTCTATGAAACACTAATGTACTTATGTTCGATTACAATAGGTATCTTATACTCTAACATGATAGAATAGTGTTTTTACTATCAATATCTCACCAGATTTATGCACTGTGAATGGCTCCTCTCTGCAGGTGGAGAACCAACGAGACTTCTTGCGCTCAGATGGAGTTGACCCTCCGGGGGAGAAATCATCTATACTGGGGCTGTACAACTCATGCATCTCACAGGGGTTTATTGGGCTGTGGGCAT